CCCCCCTCGCCCAAAGAATCACCTCCTACGCCCTCACCCACCTCCCCGAACGAACATACAACCACTCCCTGCGAGTCTACTACTTCGGTCTGGCGATCAAGGCCTCTCGGTTCCCCGGGTGGCTTCTCACGGACGAAACCTTCTTCCTCGCCTGTTTACTGCACGATATCGGGACAACAGATGCTCATCTCGAAAACACCCGGCTCAGCTTCGAATACTACGGTGGGTTCCTTGCCTTGGAAGGTTCTTCAAGAAGGAGATACCATTTCTCTCGCTCCTCGAGATCAAGCGGAAAGTATCGCCGAGGCGATCATCCGGCATCAGGATCTCAGGGAGACAGGCTCGATCTCCTCCCTGGGCCAGTTGATACAACTCGCTACTTTGTTCGGTAGCCCTCCCCTCCCACTCATATAGTCTAGTCCTCTCTTTTTAACAAATGGGGGATTCTGATTCATCTTTATATTCCAGATAATACAGGCTCATACCCTGATCTCGTCCACGAGACAACCATCCAAGAGGTGAACATCCGGTATCCCCGTCACGGGTGGAGTGGCTGTTTCGCAGACACGATCGACAAGGAGATTGCTCTGAAGCCGTGGGCGCATACCACCGTGATCGAGGGGTTCAAGGATAGAGTGTTGAATAATACGCTGATGAACAAGTATGAATAGGTTACTAGATAGTACTTCACCTGTAGAGTGAATCAATCTATTGTTGGCTTGCCATCGCTTCGACAAAATCATCGTCCAGCTGCACCTCTACATCCCAGATCCCCAACGTCTCCCCCGTTGCAAACCGCTTGCGTGGCTTCCCACTGCGCCCTGTGTTCACCATCGCCACGCTCGACAGCGCAAACACATCAGCCAGCTCCGCCATCCGCCGCGCCCCAACAAACACCTCCGTCAGCCACGCCGTCGTCGCAATCACCACCGACAGGTTCAGGCAGTCCACTAGGATCTCGCTCGACAGCGCGTGCGCCGCGTAGTACAGCGTGCTGTGGTACTCCAGCACTAGCTCGGGGATATACATGACCTTGATCTCGTCCTGTTCTGCTTGAACGGATTCTAGAAAGACAAAAAGATATCAGCATCCTGACATTCCAGTAGAGTGATAGAAATACTGCTTACCATCCATCACCGGCAGAAACTCGGCTGTCTCGAAAATCGTCTCACAAGTGAGTCGTACGTTCTCCAAAGCTTCCGTTAGTCGTGCTCTGTGGTCCTTGACAGCACTCGAATCCCGTCTCCGTGCGTTACTACATTCGTCAGTACCTACTTCCCCGAGGCCGAGTAAATAAATGGACAACTTACTTGCTGAATTCCTCCCAAGTGACGGCAAAAACCTCCAGGGCTTCAAAAGCAACAATCAACCGCTCCAGGTCACGCATGGGTGTTGCTTGCCGGAGGATAAGGTTCTTGCCTTCGCCTGTCGGGTTCAATGTCTCGGTAGGAGAATCTTCCGGTTGCTCTTCGGAGAGAAGGGGAACCTCGTCAATATCGAATCCAAACGACTCGCGCGAAATCTCGGGCAGAGGCATGCGCTTGCTGAGCTCCCGAGCAGCAGCCAAACGACCAGTCACTATCAAGTCAGCAAATCGGCAGATTTCATTACCAGGAGGAGTTTCATACGGTAGAAATTGCGGTAGAGCAACGCTCCAAGCTGGCAGATCTTCCCCCATTGGCCGTCCACGTATCGCAACCATTCGAGGCTGCGTATCAGCCGGTCGTCTTCAGGTGAAATATCCATCCCAATGAAGTCCTTCTTCACCGGGATAATCTCCGGCGGAACGTCTTTGCGGCGCAGGACCTTCGGGTAGCGACTGACGGTGCGCGGATGGTCAATTTCTGAAACCTGCGACGAGATCCAGAGCCACTGCTTTGTGAGGACTGCCTCGACGTCGATGCGGTACTTTTCAATCAGTTTCACCTGCTTCCTTCTCTCGCGAGGATCGACAACCTCGATAATGACTTGGCCGAGCATGGTATGCGCCATTTCGATGGGTAGGAGAGAGCCATATAAGGGTATGAAGTCATACAGACCCATACTCTCCAGGTTGGCGACGTAGCCCATAACACTAACGGAGGCCTGCTCGAAGAATTGCGTATCGGCTCGCACATAGCCCAGTGCAGAAGTGATGATGTACAAATGAGCTGCAATCCGCAAGGCGTCTTGGTCCTGGGCTGCAATGAGCATGGAGTCGTCCACATTTGAAGGCGATAGGTTCGGGATGAACGAGTCTTGCTCAGGGTCGCTGTTGGCCATCTTGGAAACTGCTCGAGCCAATGCTAGGAAGAAACCATCGTAGCCATGTCCAAGGATCGCTGCCTGGATGGTGCGATACGGGTTGCGAGCTTCGACCCCGATGCGCTCAATGTCCTTGGTATGTTGGAGGAATTGCTGCAAGTCTTGGTGGCCAGCGGGTTCGGGAACGAACGCGACAGGGGAGGCGGGCGAGAGGCTCAGCTTTCGGCGGAACTGCTTGCAAAAGTTCTGGTAACGGGACAGCAGGAGACTATTGAAGTAGACATAGAGATAATCGTCCCAGCTCTGGCAGACTCTGTACGCGGCCTCGGTCTCTCCGCAGAGCAAGGAGTAGACGGCGCGCTCAAAGTCCTCTGCATGCGGGTTGCGCGCGAGAGCTGAGCAGGCAGCTCGCCAGGAGTCCTGCGATCTGAAATTCATCATGCGCGTCAACCCGTCGTCGAGAGGAGTCTTGTCGGTAGACTTTTCGCCCTTGTGGCTGGGTTCAACAGTCGACCCACAGAGACTCACAGCCCGCCAGCTTTCCAGCCGTTCCTGTGCCCAATTCCGGATCGTAGTCCAGCTTTCGCCTTCCCGGAGCATCTTCCAGCATGATAACCAGGTGGCGCGCTCTGAGAATTGGTCCTGTTTCTGCAAGGTCTGCTTCTGACGAGTGATCGCATCTGGATCCAATTGGGTGATGAGAGGCGCGTTTTTCTCCGAATTGAGCAACGAGTTCATGATTCCTGGATCATTGGGCTCAAGCGGTCGAGGCCAGGCCCTCAGTCGCTTCTGGCCCTTGATACTTTCCTTGGTATAGAGCCACCCATGCGACCAAACGCCTTGCCCTCGATCTGCCTGTGTCTCCAATTCGTCAATCAGGAGGTCAAGATCTGAACTCGAAGTCTTCGAGGTATGTTCAAGCCATTTCAACGCGATGACGCATTCCGTGGCGTAGTGGTCCGCCTCCAAAAAACCCTCCCACACCTCACGATCTGACGAGTAGCGATGTAGCCGTTGGAAGACGCTTTCCTGCGCCTGTTTCGCGTGCGCTCGGCGTGACGGATCGTTGGCGCTGACGATATCCTGCAGTAGATACCATGTGTCGTGCTCCAATTGCAAGCGTTGCAGCTCCTCCTCGGTCTTCGCATCGGCAGTATCGTTTCGCGTCGAGACGCCATTGCTCAAGCTCGCGCTCCAGCCAAACTTGGACCGTTTGAGCGTGCTCTGCTTGGAAATCTCATTAATCGCGTCCTGTGCAAACAACCGATAGCTCCTTGCTAGATTCCAGGCCGCCTGGTATCGATTGAAGTCATCGGCACGGCTCCCCTTCTGCTTGAACTGGTCGAGCTTCTCAGCAAATGCTTGGATCTGACGCGTGACCCGGTCTGCAGTACGTCGGAGGGGGTGAAGGGCTTGCTGTGCTCCGGCAGATGTGAACAGCTCGGGTGTGGTCATCTCTGTAGTTTTTTTTTGGCCCCGTCGTCAGTCTTCAAATCAACTCATTGATGAAGGTAGAAGAAGTTACCTCGATCGCTTCGAGCGTATCTCAAATTAGCGCCTTCAAAAACCGAGTCGACCTCATCACCTTCCTCAGAAGAACCACTTGCGGACTCCATGTCCTCATCTTGGTCCTCTTCGGTCTCCTCTGTCTCCTCTGCTTCGTCCTCTCCGTCCTCTTCAGTGTACTCTTCCTCCTCTGTGGGTTCCTCCTCAGTCTCTACCCGGTCTTCCTCCTCGTCATCAATCTCGATGATCTCGGGGTCGTTCTGAGCTGGCCGCCGAGCCGTAGCCTAGAAAACAAGTTTAGCGCATCGCTCACCCTCAACGTATTTTTCCCTTCAAAACCAACATTTATAGCGGTAAACGGCGCAACATCCCTCATGGGACCCGCAGCTCGTGTCAAAGGCGCCATGTTGCAATGCTTTGGAGTCGTGGACACCGACTTGTCGCTGCCGGCGGTGTTTTGTAGCTTCGGGTTCACTTCCTTCCCTTCACAGGCCTTCTTTCGGGCGCGTCCTAGCGACGGGATGCACTAGTCCCAAAGGGTACTAGCGCGTGTCAGAGCGCACGACGAACAAAAACTTCAGCTGCGGATCCGCGACTTCCTTTTTTCTTTTCTCTTTTCTTCTTCAATGTCATTATAGGTGATCATTAGAGTCTCGGAACGAACTTCTTCAGTGTTTGTTCAGGTCCCTTCAGGGCCTCTTTGCGTGCTCAAGATTGTCTTAGAGCAACTTGGCAGTTCTTATTTGACTAGCTCTTATTGATGAGGGTTTAGACTGCAAAGGAATTGCTACAAACTTCGTAGTATACAAGAGTTCGTCTTCTAAAGAGAGTATCGACTGTACAAAGGATTGTGGCAGGTTGATCAAGAATGGTTACTGGCTCGTTGCTTCATCTTCAACCTCAGGAGCGAAGGTTTGGGACAGCTTGGTGTCTTTGCGTCGTCGCCCCTTTCCTGGTAGAAGGCATTGCAGCAGGCGTATAAAGCATCTATCTGGGCTTGACATCTGTCTTCTCGGTATGAGTTCTTTGTGAGGCAGGCTGTTTAGATTAGCAGTGTGGTCACGGAGTGGGTATTCACTCGCTGTTTCTGTGTCGGTACCTTGAATGGCACACTTTTCAGTCAGCGATAGTCAATCATTCGAACACTGGAAACGACATACAGCTCGCGAATGACATGGAGGGTCATCTGCTACATAGTCTTTTGGATTCCCCTGGAGTAGAGTCAAATCGTTGCCTCAGTCGCTGCCACTCAGCCTGAAGTGCTTTCTGCGTCTTCTTACCATGGTGCGACGTGTAGAGACAGGGACAATGGACAATTGCTTCCCGTATGCTTAAATCAGCAATTCTGCTCTCGGATTTCTTATTCAATCGGTTCAAAGAAAAGCCCCAGCAAAGGAATATCTCCAGGCTGTCGTCACCGTCGTTCGGGCATTGGCAAAAACAGATTCTCCGCGGCTCTTCACTGCCGGTGGGGCGACCTCTTTCCCTCTCGCTTTACGATTATATCTACGCAGGTCTCGCCTCAGCGTTTAGGGAGTCTTCATTAGTCTTTGCAACCTTTTGCTCTCTCTGCCGCGCCGTCACGCACAAGCTTATCTCTACATCCCTTGCGGAAGTTGTCAAGTTTCAATCTTGGAACAACTACAGCGGCTTCCCTCTTCACATACTACAAGGCTGCGTCCATCGCCACTCTCCCTCTCATCCTCCCGAACACATCCACCAGCAGAAACACACAAAAATGGCCGACTCTGGAATCCCCCCGGACGGTGCCCCGGCAGCCGTCGAGCACCTGAACATCAAGGTCACGGATAACAACAACGAAGTCTTTTTTAAGATCAAGCGTACGACGCAACTCAAGAAGTTGATGGACGCCTTCTGTGAGCGGCAGGGCAAGCAGCCGTCGACTGTGCGCTTCCTCTTTGACGGTACCCGTGTGCGGCCGGAGGACACTCCTGACACTGTAAGAGATTCATTTTAATATTCGTTATATATATATATTCAAATATATGCACATATATGCTAACTTACTCAGCTGGAAATGGCCGACGGAGATACCCTGGAAGTGCACCAAGAACAGATTGGTGGCTAGACACTTTTTTTTATAAATTCTGAGCACGAGAATAACGACTCTACGAATTCTAAAGAAACTCATTCCTCGATTTCTCTGTACAATTTTACAGGTCTTGATATCAGTCACAGGCGCATGGTGTGAGTAGGACTGGGTATCAGCTCAGCCTTCGCCTTTCCCGTACAGTCTAGATGTTAATCTAGCTTCGTATCATTCTTTTGATACTTGATTAGTAGTTTCGCTCATACAGGTAGTATACACATAGAACTATACCAAGGGAGCTAGCTTCATTTAGTTACTCCGTATTGTTGTTTTCTTTTTAATCCTCCCAAACGGCTGCCTTGGCTCGCTCATCTGCTTCCTTGGCCTTGGCCTGCTCCTCTCGCTCTCTATTCCGCCGTCTAATTTCCTGCTCCTTGACAGCACGGTCGTACGCCCGCTGCTCCTCCGTCCGCTTCGGCGCCCGGATCCCCAGCGCCCCCGCAATCAGCCTGCTGGCGACGGCGGTCTGCTTCTCCGGTCTGCGTCCGGCGGCTGTGCCCTCCCCAGCTCCTGCCTGGGGCGACTGCGGCCTCCCCTCGTATGCACTGCCGACCCATGGCTGTGATGTTTGTAGTGAAACCGGTGTTGGCGGGGGATCCAGCGGTCCCTCTGCGACCAGGGAGGCAGGCTTAGTTTTACTCTTCGTGGACACATCCACCCCCCGGCTACTGTCCGTCACAACGGACTGCAGCTCAGCGATGGCGTCCGGGTCCGGCGACAAGTCATCTTCTTCGTCGTCGACCTCGTCCTCCCACGAGTCCGCCACGGGGGCCGCTTTCTTCTTTGATTTCGCCGACGATGTCGTAGTTGTAGCTGTCAGGCGTGGGATGTCCGGCACGGGTGCCTTTTCTGCAATGGCGAGTTGCCGGACTGAGGATTCGAGCTCCGAGGCAGCTGGCGGCGTTAGCAGGTTCACGATTGATGCTGGTGGGGAGGTTGTGGTGAACAAACCCTTGGAATCAACCATTCTTTCGATACCAATGGCTGAGTCAGGTGTAATTAGATGTAGCTATCGGATATATATATTTATATTTATAACCAGATATATATATATATATATATGGTTTACCGGTATAAGAAAGATGAATGATATTGACCGCGGATAATGGCGTCAATCCGAACCCCCGCTTTCATGTGGTGGGTGCCATTATTCTCAGGCTAGAGTCGAGCCATTCGTTGAGAACAGCAGTCGACCACAAACTCCCCCTTGTCAAGAGGTGATATATATAGGTCGAGGGGGACAAATAACTGCGGTGTGTCTAGTAATAGGCTGTGATCTGAAAGATATGCCACTTCCAGCAGGGTAGGCTATTCTGCTCAGTCGTCCTAAGGCCAGGCCATTACATCATCGAAGTATCTCCAAGTCATAAGTATATAAAAAATACTGCGGAGAAGATTTATACTACATCGATACCATATACCCCAAACACAGACAGTTCAAATGAATTGCCAGTCAAAGCCAAATATATCCACATATGCTAGCATGTGTCTGGTAAAAAAAAATTGAACAAAAAATGGACTTGATGGGAATTGAACCCACGACTTCTCGCATGCGAAGCGAGCGCTCTACCACTGAGCTACAAGCCCATTTAGTTGACACCCGAATCGGGATAGTGATATCCAAGATAGTAAGCAATCTCATTGATTCTACGCTGAGGGGTAATATAAACTATCTGGTAGTTATACACAGATGCTCTGTTCATAGCATGGAATACTGATTCTCCTTTCGAAAAATAGTTACACTACGAATTGACCGACTCATTCAACCTGGTAGAGTGTATATTGTCTGTAGCATCTACCAAATCACCCAGTACATACTTTTGTATACCGTGTTCACTCCATGATAGGCACTGTTGGACCCACGGACGCGCCATCTCCGACCTCGCAACCAAGGACAACTCAACTGTATTGCGTGATTGCAGGGAAAAACAATATTTTTCTTGAAAAAAGGATATCAGGATAAAACAGCCAGAGAATAAAAACTATAGCCGAAGAACCAAGATACCCCTTTTCATGACCCTTAAGTAAATCATAGTGTATCAACTTCATCCCACCAGGCCAGACCGCCCCGCCAGCCCACGCCGTCCTTTTTATCTCCTGCCACCGATCCCAACCGATTACTTACTCTCTATCATAAACCGATAGACCTCACAAGACTACCGAAAAATGGCCACGTAAGTTCAATTCCTTGCGTTATGAGGTCGACATGATCAATTCTTCTAACATGCCTTAAAAACGGGCAGCAACATCACCTTCCACGCCAGCGGGCTCACCCGCAGCGAGCGCACCACGCTCCGCAAGCAGCCCGGCCTGACCATCTGGCTGACCGGTCTGTCGGCGTCGGGCAAGTCGACCATCGCCGTCGAGCTGGAACACCAGCTGATTCGCGAGCGCGGCGTGGCGGCCTACCGCCTGGACGGCGACAACATCCGCTTCGGCCTGAACAAGGACCTGGGCTTCAGCGAGAAGGACCGCAACGAGAACATCCGCCGTATCGCCGAGGTGGCGAAGCTGTTCGCCGACAGCGCCTCCATCGCCATCACCTCCTTCATCTCCCCGTACCGTGCTGACCGGGATACCGCGCGCCAACTGCACGAGGTGCCCACGCCCGGCGAGGAAACGGGTCTCCCCTTCGTCGAGGTCTATGTCGATGTCCCCGTTGAGGTGGCCGAGCAGCGCGACCCCAAGGGTCTGTACAAGAAGGCCCGTGAGGGAATCATCAAGGAGTTCACGGGCATCAGTGCCCCCTACGAGGCGCCCCTGAAGCCCGAGATCCACATCAAGAACCATGAGGTTCCCGTGCAAGAGGCCGTGGCTCAGATCATCGCTTATCTTGACTCCAAGGGATACCTGCCTCCGAAGAACTAAAAAGAAAGCCTTGCCGTTTTTTCTTTTTGTTCTTTTTTATTCTTTCTCCCCCACCCCCTACTACTCCAAATCTAGATGTCTTACAGATTCGTTCTGTTGATAGAAGCTGCAATGATGTACATAGCCTGGCCTCCGTCCATACTTACAAGAGTTGTCAAGTCATCTATTCTGACGCTGAGCAATACAAAGCCAAGTCAATCAATGCATATATACGCTATTGTCCTCCCCCCCTTTCCCCACTCAATATACTACCTATGTCTCCTTTCTTATCCGGCTAGCTGAATTGGAACTCGTAGTAAACGTATGGGGTGTATTCGGCCGCCGCGCCCTCGCCGTGCATCTCGCCAGGATCGTCTCGCTTGACACGGCCCTTTTTGTCGCGGCCAAAGGCGTTACCGGCCAGGTACGAGTATTTCTCGTCCAGGGCGCGTTTGGCCTTGTCGGCTTGTTTTGAAGTGGGGGTCTGGAATTAGCATAAATGATTTTGAAAAAAAAAACGGATAGAGATGACGTACTCTAATCATTGTACAGATAAAGTCGAGAGGCAGCCCGTATCGCAGAACCGTCTCGACAAAGACGCGCAGCACTAGAACGTGGATCCAGACCATAACAGCCTCGCTCCAGGCAGTGCGGCCGAGGCGGAGCGTTTCCCCCCACAGCTTGCGCTCGTCGCCGCCCACGCGCTCGACCTCCTTGCGTTCTTCTTCCTTGCCGCCCTCGACGTACTTGAAGTCGCGTGGGATCCACTTGCTCTCTCTGCACTTGTGCACAAACTCGGCGCTGTGCTTCTTGAACGTGGTCACCGCGTACAGCGTAAACTCACTGTCCTCCGCCACCAGGCTGGCGGACCGCGGCACCACCATCGGGGCCACTGTCTCGTACGTCTTGAGGAACTCCTTGACTTGCTGCGCGGGCACGGCAATCAAATGCGTTTCTATGTAGTCCGAAGCCTGCACGAGGACCCGCGGATCGACGACTGAAGCGAGCGATTTGGTGGACAGGTTGCCGCTACATAATCAGCCATTGTTCTGTTTCATTCTTTTATCAGGAAGACTAAACCGTACGTCTGTTTGCGCTGCAGAGTCGCCAGCGTGTTCTTGACCTGGTTGTACTGCGTGTATTTTGACCGGATATCGTTATCAATACTGGCGGCTTCCTAATTCATGACAGCTTGCGTTAGTGGGGAGGGGAAAGACATGTATAACCTGAGTACAAGGTATCCCACCTTCTGTAGAAGATCAATCAACTCGCTCAGCGGCTTATCGGCACGGTACTTGACTTTGTTCCAGGAAAATGTACGCAGATATTGATCGACCGGCTCTGGCAAGCAAGTTAGTTGACCTAGTGTGGTATCCCATCATTAACCTAGACGTACTATCGTTGACGGCCTTCATATTCTCAATCTGCGCTTCGTCTCCATCCAGGACGTTCTTCAGGGCATCGCCCACCTTGGCTACCACACCCTGACATGAAGACTCGAGTTTCGCCAGCTCATCGGCCTGCTGCACCAGGGCGTCAAGGGTGCCAATCTTGAACTCCGGGATGGGGAACGAGTCCACGGAGCCATTGTCCGCCGTCACTGTTGTCGAGACCGCTTCCAGGGCGTCATCCTTGTGTCGCGAGGGAGCGATGGACGTCGGGAGCGAGATGAGGAGGTACTTGGTACTCTTGGACATGGCGGGCTGCGGAGCTCTAGGTGGTAGCTCTCAGACGATCGATCGAATTTCAACAGGAGAAAATAGCACCTGTCGCCACGCTCTAGCAAGCGGGCATAAGGCAATTCCAAAAAGAAAAGCAAGGGTTGCGAGGGAGGAGGTGGCCGTGCTGGGCAGGTGTCCCTTTCGAAAGCTGGAGCTGGTGGTGGTGTTAAGGCGGTCGGGAGGCGGTTGGAGTGGGCTGGAGACTCCGCAGCGATAACAGGCGATACTAGGTGGCTTTAGAGTCAAGTTGACTGTATAATTGACTGTATAATTGACTGTATAATAGACTGTATGACTTGGATTGTATTTTTAAATTTTTTTTAATTATTGAATAGCGTAGTGAATTCTAAATTGGATGTCTAAAAAGTATATACCGAAAGATTCTATCTAAACGTCTAATACCTAACTGGAGATCATCGAAGTGATAAAGAAGGGAAATAATCATGAATCAAAGGGTATCATTCAATCAACGATTTTGTACAGGCTAGGCATAGACTGCAGAGAAAGAGAAAAAAGTCAGCAACTGGGGTCTTCAAAAGATCGGGTGAGTTCCTATACGTACCGCAGCTTGTTTTGGCTCGATGAACAGAGCCTTGGCCTCGACAAGCACAACTGGATCCGTGCCTTCCTCGGGGAGAGACTCGATGCGGCCCTCAACCCACGCCTTACGGCCTTCAACCTTGACGGTCTCGGCGCGCAGAACGCAGTAGTTCTCTGCAAAGGCGGGACGGCGATAGTCGATGCTGAGATTGGCGGTCACAGCCACTTTGTTGGGCAGCGCAGGGAAACAGCAGCGGGCCAGTGTCTCGTCAAGAAGGGTCGCCAGCAGACCGCCATGCACAATCCCTGGATGACCTGACAGGTCGGAACCGAGGTATAGGATCGAGACCAGACTCTTGCCCCCGGCTTCACTGAAGACAAGCGGGGGCACCACGATCTTATCGGGGCCCGCAAGGGTACCGGCCGTCAAATTGCGCGCGCGTAGGCTCTCAGGGATCTTCAAATGCGGTCGCGACTCGGTGAAAGCGGGGTTTGCGCGCAGCTCGGCAGCGAGCGGGTGGTTTTGGATATGGTCTTCAACCTCTTGTGCTTTCGCGTCAGAGGGGTTGAAGAGACCGAGGGTCTCCTGGTCAGAAGGTATCGGGGAAGCCATGAGCCGAGAGATGGTCTGCTGTGTTTGGTACAAAAATCCAGCTGTGAATGCGACGACCGCAATCGATGTGAATCCAACGAGACGAGAGAAACGAGAGCGAGACTGACGAGGCGGCACTTCAGTAGCTTCTAGATATTTCAAATTCTATCAGGAATGAAAAGGTAAAACGCGGTTTGGGTGACAACGGTCGAGCTGCCACACAACAAAGCAAAACATGGTCTTACCGGTAGAGTAGAATCTGTGACGGAAGACTCTTGACGAAGGCACTCGACATGAAGTCAGAGCAAACCGTTGAGCAGCGCTGGAACCTTTTATAGGAGCCTCCGGGTGTGTTGGCCAGAGTCTGGCAGTGGTGGAGACCGCCCTGGTTGAGGATCGGAGCATCGTGAGTCTCAATTTGGGGGGGCCTGGCAGGCGGATCCCAACAAGACTACAGATAAGCAAAAGCGGCAAATCCTGGACAGACCAAAAAAGAGAGAAAGGAACGGAGCCCTTTGGTGGTGGGCTGGTAATTGGCCTTTGCGATGCACTGTTGAGAATCTTTTACGATGGAGACGCGTGGTCCGATTGGACCAGCGGAGGAACAGAGGCAAAAGAACCTCGGCTCCTTGCTTGTAATAAAACAAGTAACAAGATCTTATGAAGCATCTCTTCGTACAAGTATTTATGATCAATTTATTTATGGTTCAAATTGATTTCTCAGTTGAGAAGAATCATGAAAGCATGGCTGAAAGCTTTGGTAAAACCACGGCTATACCTGACTACCAGGTAGATTTTAGGTAGACACGCAGCATAGACGACAGGGAATCAGCAGATACTTAGGTACCTACTACTAGATAATAATCTAGACCTTTAGAAAGTTCCCAGGTACATTTATCAAGAATTAATCAAGAGCCCAATTGGCCTTATATATAAGTTTTTTCTTATTGCTGATGCTGTTTGTTGTCCTCCCGGGTCGTTCGTTGCATTGATCCTTCCCAAACAGGAAACAGCATGCCAGGGGCACAATCCGCAGGTCATACGGGAGTAACGTGGCATCGGAATCGTTCAAAACAACTCTAGACCCGTGGGACATTTCTGTCTCTGCTGTTGATGTTGCCATTCTTTTGTCGCGTTTGATGCAGGATGATGCTGTTCCGTCGTCTGCTCTGGACAGCTGCCGTGGCGAGAGGTGTTTTTGCTGCAGAAAACTCCTCGGTGTATGATTATGACGTTCTGCAATACGTCGATCCTTTGATTGGAAGTTCTAATGGAGGTATGATCGACTTGTCATATGCAAGATTGATTGCTGCCGTGGCTAAACACAGTTTATCTATCTAGGAAACGTCTTTGCTGGCGCGTCTGTGCCTTATGGTATGGCCAAGGCAGTGGCCGATACGGACTCGGAGAATAACCAGGGGGGATTTGCTTTTGATGGGAGTAAAATCACTGGATTCTCCAATATGCACGATTCTGGGACTGGCGGGAGTCCGTCTCTAGGGAATTTCGCTCTCTTCCCTTACACGAAATGCAACAATGACGATTTGGATGGCTGTGTTTATCCCAAGAAGGCGCGGAAGATCGGATATGACAGCAACTCCGTCAAGGCAACACCGGGTTACTTTGGTCTCGCCATGAACTCTGGTGTCCAGGTCGATATGACAGCGTCCCATCACACGTCTCTGTTTCGTTTTCGCTTTCCAACGGACAATGCTTCTAGTCCCCTTATTCTTCTGGATTTGACAGACCTGTCAGATTCAAGACAGGACAATGCGTCTGTCAGTGTGAATGCCACGACTGGACGGATGATAGGCAATGCTCGCTTCCTACCCAGCTTCGGTAGTGGCTCATATAATTTGTACTTCTGCGCCGATTTCCGCAGCTCTGCCAAAGTTCGAGACAGTGGTATCTTTGTCGATTCTCGTGCGAGCAATGAGGTGCAGGACCTCAAGATCTCCCGCAGTATAAATGGATATCCACTTCCAGTATGTTGTTCAATCTCCATTGATCTTCTGTATCGTTTCACCAACAACAATCCAGGGCGGTGGCTTTATTCGCTTCCATTCTCCGCCGGACAACACAATTTTGGCTCGTGTTGGAGTCAGCTTCATCAGCAGTGAGCAGGCTTGCTCTAGTGCCGAGTCGGAGATCCCTGGATTCGACTTCAACTCTACCCATTCGACGGCAGTCAAGCTATGGACCGAGAAACTTGCTCCAATAAGAGTATCTAGAGAGGGAGTTAATTCTTCCATGCTTACAAACTTCTACAGTGGGATTTATCGGACTATGATCAGCCCACAGGATTATACGGGAGAGAATCCGTTGTGGAACAGTACCGAGCCCTATTTTGATTCGTTTTACTGGTAAATGCGCTTCTTTAGTCAACGTATCATCCTACTCACTTATCTCATAGTCTCTGGGATTCTTTCCGGTCCCAATTTCCGTTTTTGACGATCTTCGACCCTTCCTCTGTGGCCCGCATGATTCGTTCACTCATCGATACCCAGCGCCATCTAGGCTGGCTCCCTGATTGCCGCATGTCTCTTTGCAAAGGTAAGTGGTAAATTAGTTTTCCAAAGTTCATATGCCAACCGTGCTACAGGATTCACTCAAGGTGGCTCTAATGCGGACAATATTCTTGCCGATGCTTACCTCAAGGGTCTGTCCGATGGTATCGACTGGGATGCTGGCTATAGAGCCGTTCAAAAAGACTCGGAAGAAGAGCCATATGACTGGTCGAACGAAGGTCGTGGTGGTCTGGTCAGCTGGAAGAAGCTGAACTATATTCCTGTGCAGGATTTTGACTACCAGGGATTCGGGACGATGACACGAAGTATTTCCCGAACATTGGAATACTCGTATAACGAGTTTGTAATCTCGCAAATGGCTCTTGGCCTCAACAAAACGAGCGATTTCGAGAAATATCGAAACAGGTCGGGATACTGGCAAAACCTGTGGAAAGCAGATCAGACATCTTTCCTCAACGCCGTAAACACTGGGTTCACGGGTTTCTTCCAGCCCAAGTACCTGAATGGCACATGGGGATTCCAAGTTAGTCCAAATTTTCCACAAGAAATGGAGAATATTTCTAATAGACACAGGACCCTCTCATGTGTTCAAACATTGATAACAGTGGAAGCATCTGCTCATTGCAGAATACGGCCGGAGAGACCTTTGAGTCCAGTATTTGGGAATATCAATTGTGAGACGCACCTCTTTCCCCCGATATCTCTCTCATAGTTCCTAACCAAGGTATCAGTTTTGTTCCCCACGACATGACAACGCTTATTACCCTGCTCGGCGGGCCTTCGCAGTTTGTAAAGCGCCTTGACTACCTCCACGATAACAATATCACCTACATTGGCAACGAGCCTGCCTTTCTGACTGTGTTTCAATACCATTACGCCGGCCGGCCAGCCAAATCGGCGCAGCGCTCTCATTTCTATATTCCGAGATTCTTCCAGACGACACCTGATGGCCTGCCAGGGAACGATGACTCGGGCGCCATGGGTTCCTTTGTAGCCATGTCCATGATGGGTCTGTTCCCCAATCCTGGGCAGAATGTCTATCTGATCATGCCCCCTTTCTTCGAATCTATTAGTATTACTTCCCCGCTTACGGGCCGTACGGCGACGGTCCGCACCGAGAACTTTGACCCTACATATCAGAATATCTCTATCCAATCTGCGACTCTCAATGGCGAGCCATACCACAAGAACTGGATCGACCACGACTTCTTCACGGAGGGAAAGGAATTGGTTTTGGTCCTTGGGCCGAATGAGAGCCAATGGGGTACAAATAATGAGGACTTGCCACCGTCTGTGTCTAGCAAGGCGGCGAGAAGCGCTGAGCTGAAGGGGCCGGGTTTGAGCTAGGTGACAGCTTCGTGTAAGAAATGGATGTTCTAAATATGCCGTAAAGGCCTTTGGACAGTGCTATCCCTATTGAGATGGTGATACATCCGGACGACATGTACAGATAGCGAAAAATATAGCGGCTGTCTACACAGTATTCTAATAATCAATGTTCCATTGATAACTATAGGGAAATTGATAAACAAAAGGGTAGATATTCCTCTTGTTGCTCGTTATAACGATATGTTGAATATAATCCCAGTTCCTATGCATGTCATGAAAAAAAAAAGAACTCTAGACAAAAAAGAAAGGAAAAGAGAAGAAGGGTATTAGATTAGGTTAAGCTTTCCTATGGAACTTGCTTTCGATCCAGGGCATGGCCACGACATTTGCTTTGCGCACTTTATTCCGCACGAGGATACCGACCTCGGTACCCTTCTTATGAAACCCTTGCTTGACGTAACCCATTGCGATATTTGTGCCACCGAGAGTGGGACTGGGAAGACCCGAGGTGATGATTCCGATTGGGGTCTTCGAATCGTCTGCTAGATCGATGACCACGGCGCCCTCGCGAGCGGGGGAACCCTTTTCAACTGTAAACCCGACGCGGCGCTGAGATAGGGTTTTTGCCGGGGAGGCGAGCTGGGGTAAGACGATGGAGGCGCCGTTGAAAGAAGGAAGAGAAGAAGCGGGGTCGCGGCGGTCCTTGCCTACCACCCAGCCGAGAGAAGCGGAGGGGGGTGTCTGGGCGGTTGAGATGTCGTGGCCGTACAGACACATGCCAGCCTCTAGGCGGAGGGAATCCCGTGCGGCGAGGCCCGCGAGACGGACCTCATCTGGACGGGAGAGGAGGAGGTCGACGACCTGGGTGGGGAGCGAGGCGGAGGCGCTGTCGCCGCTTGTGGGGATGGAGATCTCGAACCCGTCCTCGCCTGTGTATCCCGTGCGGGAGACTAGGAGCGGGTGCGGTGTGCGAGAACCGTCCGGTAAGGTGAGGTACAGCTCACGACATTGGCCGAAGTAGAGGGTGGAGAGGTCTGTGTCAGTTTGTGGGTCTGGGTGGACGAAGGTCTGCAGGACCGATGCAGCGAGAGGACCCTGGAGGGCGATGAGGGCGCGGTCGGCGAGGATCTCCCACTTGATACTCTCCGCGCCGTGGGTTTGGCGGTATGCGTCGATCTCGGCCTGGAGGAAGGCCAGGTCTTCGTCGCGCCGGCCTGCATTCGTGACGAAGTAGAAGACATCGTCGGCGCGGCGGGTGATGACCGTATCGTCGACGATCCCGCCCGTGCCTTCTTCCAGCAGGCACGAGAGCGTCGATTGGTTGTGCGGGAGTTTGTCCAGCGATGACGGCGTCACTTTCATCAAGAGCGGGAGGGCGCCTGGGCCGCTGAGCTGATGTTGAACCCTGAATGACTTAGTAACGGACTCACACTAAAAATGAGTGGTAGAGTGGTCGAGTGTTTTCTTACATATGGCTCACGTCGAACAAGCTCGCCTTTTCACGAGTCCACTTGTGACTCTCGACGTGGCTGAGATCAGTATACTGCAGCGGCATGGAGAACCCAGCAAAGGGGACCATCTTCGCTCCGTGGCGGAGATGCAAATCATTCAATTGGGTGGTCTTCAGCGACCCCGCGGCCGCGGACGAGGATGATGCACATCGTAACGATGTCGTGCCTGGGAGCCGGGGGAATCGACTATCGACCAGAGGGCGGAGACGGAGCTGTGGCCGGGGTAGAGAGGAGAAGGAGGAGCTACCATTGCTGGCCACAGGGCGGAGCGTACGAGCCACGGCCCGGGAATTGAGGAGTCCTGTCCCTTTCCTGAACGGCTTCATTGTTCCTCTTGAACGAAGTATTCTTCAACAAGGAGTATTATTTTCAAAGAACGTCGCAAAGGACAATGAGAATAAAGTCGGTGCGGGCAGCAGCAACGATAGCGGAAAAGTCACGTGCAGATAGGAATTACGGCGGAATCCCGCGGTCACGGTTTCCCGCGGAGGCGGGCAGGGCGGAAGTACTCCGGACTACATAGTATTTTAGGTATATAGATAATAGGAGCAATCATGATTCAATAGGAATAATTCCTGAAAGAGCTACATAATAACTGTTATCTCTAGCCATTTATTAAACTAGTGGTAATCATTAAAGACGAGATTATTGTCGAGACCGTCATTATTATCCAGAGACCATCTCTGGGACATACCAGAAATGTCCGATTATAATCCATTGTTGGCACATGTGAAGGGTTTTCCGAAAGAGCCGTCCCGGTAGCTCAGAACAACGCTATCAACAGAGGCCTAGAAAGAAGATCCATGTTAGTAGAAGAATAAAAGTAAGGGGGGGGGGAAGTGTGGGGAAAGAGCAGAGGATAAAACTGACATAAGTGCCAGGTCCAATCAAAAATAAGCCCATGAGGATCAGACCAAGATTGACCAGGAAGCCGATCCAACCACGGATGCCGCGGACTTTATAAAAATTCGGACCGTAGTCGGCGCGTCTCATGCGCATATATGCGACACCCCAGAAGATGAAGCCAAAGAAGGAGTCGAACAGAGAGCTCATGATCGACTCGAGATCGGAGAAGAATGGAATGACCTCTGCGATGATGAACGCCAGGATCCAAAGCACGGCCAGGATTGCGACCCAGGTGGCCCAACCGACCAGGGTGTGATTGCCCTTGTGACGGGTGCCTTCAAAAATCCGGAAGAAGATGAAGCGCGCGGAAACCGAGGCGTAGAGCGTGCCGAGGAAGATCAGCGTGGGGATCATGAACGAGAATGAGACCTTCTTGTACACCTCATTACCCAGAGAGCCAAAGGCAGGACTGGTGATGTACTGGTTCCCGGAGTAGACGTAGATGATGGCGCCCACGAGGCTGAACACAATCACTTCGGCGATGGTCACCACGGTGACGGATTTCCAAAAGTCCCTCGGCTCCTTCATCTCTGCGATGAAGCTCGGCAGCGTGATCTGGCCGATGAAGGTGTAACTGATGTTCAAAAACGCACTGAGCCCGTTCACAAACGTCGTTCCTTTCACAGGGAAGGCTCTAAAGTCCGGCTCGCCCAGTTCGGGGGTATACCCGGCCGGGTGCTCCTCGATGGCGGAGAAGATGGTGGCCAGAAGGACGGAAATAAAGGTGAACAGAGCGGAGAAGGTTGCCAACCGAGCCAGCGCGCTGAAAGTGCGCGGAAGAGAGAAGACAAAGGCAATGATGGCGGTGATCGCGGAGAAGGCGATGGTACATGTCGAATGGTTCGTCATTGTATTCAAATACTCGGCTCCGACCAAGCAGTGCAAGCCCTGAGAAGAGGTCAGTGCCATGAAACTACCTACTGACGTTCAAACCCACCTGGATAAAGGTGTTGTTCAACAAGAACATGATGGCGGTCAAGTACCAGACAATCTTGGAATCCCAAAACAGGGCCTGCCCAATGTCACAAACATCGCGAATTTCCGGATGTCTCAAGCAGAATTTCCTTAAAAAAAAAAAAGGTATTAGCTATGAGAAAACAGCGACTGATTTATGTTTGGGACCGTACCAAATCACGAGCGACGTGTACAAGACCGTGGCCGCAATGAAGACCGTCAAAATCAAACCGGGGACCAGCCCCAGGACGGAGTACGACCACGGGAAGGACATGATGGCCAAACAGATGTACTCTGAGAAGAGCAGTGCAGCGGTCTATTCGATGGTAAGAGACGAGACCGACTGGAATTTTTTTCCTTCCGCGTTGTCCATTCGACCGTCAAATTGGAAACCCGACGACGGCTAGAAAGATGACATTGAAAGAGAGACAAATAGCTACCTTCTGCCAACTGCAGGTCCGATACTTGATGGAGTTCCCGGCCTCAAGTTCGATCTGTCTACCGACGCTCTCCTCATCGGAACTCGAATTGGCAGCGATGTTGTGGTGGAGATGGGCCTTGTGGCCCTCGACCAAGTCGTTCATCTTGGCGGGATCGCTGCCTTCCATGTCGGAGTAGGGGACCGAACGACGAAACTCTTCGGACAAGTCTGCGTCTGTTCGCGCCATTTGACAAAGCGAATCCTCCGCTGATGGAGAGCGGCGGTAGAGCGAGGCGAAGATGAGATGCTGAAGATCTTTGAATGCATGTACTGCTCGTCGTAATATTACTGTCTAGATCTGTTCGACGGGTTGACTTGAGGTGTTAGTTTAAGAAGACAGAAAAGGGAAAAGAAGCACTTGCGAGTGTCGTAAGGCAATGGTGTGATAAAAAGAAAAAAAACCAGGATTTGCGACTCACCAGGTAGAGTTTCTCTAGGCAGTGTCGGACGTTACCACAGATTACGACAACCGACAAGACTTTGGAAGTCGATTCCCTGGGACGAATCCTGTACAAACCAGACGAGACAGGGCAGAGTTCCAACAAAACCAAAAAAAAAAAAATCTGCCTAGGAAGAATATCACCCAGCGATCGCTATATAGGTATCATCTCATCCAAGGCTTGGTTAGTGGAGGCAATCTTGCTGCCACGAGCTGGCAAAATGCAAGGGTTTCTTTTGCTGCAGCATGGCCTGTCTGTCTGCCTGTCTGCCTGCCTGACGATGACGTGCCCATCTCCGCTCATCTTCGTTAATTCCAGGGCCGCCGCAATAGGCGACCCGAACTGCTGCGACCGCCGGCCTGTGTGGAGTCGGGGGAAAATCTCACTCTCGAATCCTGCTTCCGGGAGGTGCCTTGGAAGGAGGCAATTGGAACCAGGAAGGATGAGGACACAGAGTGAGGTAAGCAGGGATGCTCCGCCTGAGGCCGTACCTGGAATAGTGCGAGGTTGGTGGGACGGAGGCCCCAGCGGGCTTGAGGATGTGACGTTGGAATCGCCGGTTCAGGCCAGTCAAGCCACACGCTCACGTCGTGTGCTCTGCTGGCGGTCGAATCAGCAGGCAGCGAAAGACTCTGGCGGGGTGGCATTGCATTTGTTCTGCGCCAATCAGCGCTCCATGTGGGGGTGTATCTTGCTGAATGCGCCAGTTGGTGGGTCGTCAGGACCCGCATCCGTCTTGAATTGACTCGTGCGGATTTTTAATATTGGATTTATTCACTGTTTGTATGAGTAATATGTAGAGGTAATGAATTAAATAAATACTATGACTAATATAGGGTATACCTAGGTAGGTATGCAGTATTTTGGATTATTTATGCAGTGAGTATAGGGACATCTTGATTCATTGATATATTACAGATTCTGACAACAGTGAGATCTCATGATAACTATAGAAATCATGCGGTATCTCTACCTAGGGTATTGAGAGATTGATTACTTAGTCTCATAGTACGAAGTATATAGTAGTAGCATGTACCCCGTAGTGCGTACGTCGTACCTGCTACTAGGTACCAGTATAAGGAGGTAGTTACATGTCATGCCTTAGGCAGATTTGGCACCCCACAGATCTTCAACTTCCCATGACTAAGCTCTTACTAAGCAATCATAGACTCATCATGCTTTTATACTACTCCGTACTCCGTACAATATTCAACATATATGAGCCACAGCAGAGACTGAATATCCAGCCATTCTGCATCTTGCTATCTATATGTCGTCCCATCAAGGTACCCTTTTAACACCATTGGTGTACTGGTTATCTTCCCTGCCTTATGGAGTACTCTACTGGAGATAAGCGGATTTTACGGACAAGCTGTTCGTAGACCGAAGAACCCACCGTTTAACACCAGAGCTATCTCAATGAATTAACTAGTATCCATGACAATGTTGTGGTCACTTTCCCACACTTATTCCTCAAGCCAGGACCTCCCCTCTTGAACCATTGACTAGGTACTAGTACAAGGTTAACCATGGCCGCTATGCCTGTCCTTCCTACCTCTTTACCCTCCCTCACCGTCCGCGAAGCCATCCTCGATGCCGTCTACCGTCTCGTGAACGCCTTCGACACCGCCAACCCCGACCTCTTCGAGTCCGCAATGACCAAAGACGCAGTCTTCGACCTCAACGGCCAGATCATGGACGGCCTAGACGCCATCCGCACGCAATGCTTCGACCCAGTCTCGAAACTGGACACTACCCATTTCATAACCAATGCCCGCGTCAACATCCCAGACGGGGAGTCCGCCAAGGCCTCCGTGACGGCGACGGCTCTCGCGCAGCATTTCCCCGCTCAGAAGGGTCTGGAGGCCGGTGCTCCCAACCTGTTGGCTGGGTCGCTGTACTTTATTGATCTTGTCAAGGATGAGACGGATGGCCTCTGGAAAGCCAAGTACTGGAGACTCAAGTCTACGTGGGCGCAGGGTGATTGGGGGGTTTTCGGCAAGTAGGGACGTTTAGATATAACTTTCTTCTCCTTACTCTATGCAGATAGATTTGCTTTCGATCCTATAGTCATATATAGATTGCATATATAGATTGAATTTACATAGCTGTACAGAATATAAACCAAGTTTAATAAACTATGGTATCTAACTTTTTAACTGCAAACACAACTACATTCCATCATCCTCATCAGCCAGGAGGGCCGCGTAATCCTCCACAGATGCAAAGGTAGGCAGGTGCTTGAGCTTGCGTCTCTTCTGTCGTCCAGAAGGTTCGTCCTTGGCTTCTGGCAGGGCAACGCCGCCGCCAAGTTCCATATCAGACGGTAGATCTTCGTCGCTGTCCAGGAAGGCTTCCTCGTCCGACACGTCCATGTCAAAGGCGTCGTCTTCGTCGTCGGAGGGGGCCTTGGCAGCTGCGCTCTTCTTCGTCTTGGCAGCTGTGCTCTTCTTCGTCTTGGCCGGCTTGGCCACCTCTTCTTCTTCTTCTTCCTCTTCCTCCTCCTCTTCATCAAGAACGTCGAGCTCCTCCTCCTCTTCGTCGAGAACGTCGAGCTCCTCGTCCGACTCGTCGTTGAAAATAATACCTCCGTCGTCATCCTCGTCCAGGTTTTCGCCAGCGTCTTCTTCATCCTCATCATAGTCAAATTCAGAGTCGAGATCGTCCATGTCAAGGTCGTCGTCCTCATCGTCGGCCTCCAGCTCGGGTCGCGAGTCCACAAGGGCCTTCCAAATCGCATCTTCATCCTCGCTGAGTTCACCCTCGGAATCGACGTCCTTGCCAGCCGCAGAGGATTTCGACTTGGCCTTGGCCGCCTTGTCCTTGTCTTTGCCGAGTCGGTTGAAGTACTCGTGGAAGAACACATCTTCGGCAGACACTTCGTCCGCCTGCTTTTTCCAGAACGCCTCCGAGTTGACGGGCAGGTTTTGAACACCCTTGCTAGACGCGACAAGGAGGTCCTTGGCATCACCGCCAGCAAGAGGCTGCATGATGGACGAGCCCCGGACCACTGCAGATGCCTTAGGTGTTCGGTAGACGAAGCGGTCGAGGAAGTGCGTCAGGGTGTGCAGTGTCAAATCGGGCTTTCCGCTCATGGTCTCATGCTGCAGCAGATGCGCTGCATTGACGGAGACGGAAGGATGGAAGTGTGAAAGGTAAGGAAGCTGCTGTGGTAAGCCTTTTTATTCATAAGAAAAAGCCGCCCGGGGTATCTGTTTTCTAATACATACCAATTCCCATAGACATGTCTTATCGGCGTTGCTATGTTCTGGGTCTCTCTTGCGAGGATCGTAGCCGTTGGTAGCCTTCTTTGGCTTCTCTTCGGTGATTACAGGCTCCGGAGCCTTGTCTTCGTCATCTTCATCAGGCACGTCTCTGAAAACTTCCTCCTCATCGCTTTCGTTATCTTCCGGCTGATCGAACAGAGACTGGATGCCAGTGAAGGTCTTCTCCAATTCCCGGACCAGATAGAAAATGCCGCAGATGAACGATGGCTGATGCAACCCGAGTACTTGAACGATACGCTTCACGAAAGCCTTGACTCGGCGTACGTTCAAGTCACTCTTCAGTGCTTTGAACAGAAGATTCAGGTAAAGAGCCTGCTTTGATGACGTCGCAACACGAGGATCAAGAAGAGACTCGTACAGAGTCCGGTAGAAGCGGTCGGCAGCGACTTGATGGGACGATGTTAGTTGCTGGATTAACATGAGAGCTTGGATGCTGGTGTTGAAGTTTGACGAGTGAGTGATGCGGAAAAGGGTGTCGATATGTTTAGACATGCTGAAGGCAGGTTAGCATATATACATCTTAAAATGACGAGAAGGAGCATACCGATCCGAGTCCGAGTTGGTGAATGGATAAGCTCGGTTGACACCGGTCAGAATCCCTGAAACTAACTTGTCACGCATCTCCTCATCTGGGCTCATGCCTTGAGTCTGGTTAGGTTTCCCCTTTTGTGACTTTCCTTTCTTGCCGAACTTGCTGCCCTTATTTTTTTCTTCTTTGACAGGCTTGAGGAGAATGACAAACATAGAGAAGTAGATATCAAGCAATTGAAGGGCTGTATTTTCCTCTTTCATACTCAAAACAGTCTGGTTGAGAGTAATGATTGCATAGTACTTCGCATGCTGGCTTTGACCAGACCGGAAGAGCAATTCCTCCACAGCGGAGATGATGGTGGCTTTCATCATCGGGTGGGCCTGCTCCAGTTGAAGGAGCAGATACGAAGCGCGAGAGGCGATCTTTTTGCTCGGATCACCAAGTTTGTTGACAAGAAGGCGAAGAAGGTTAGACTCTTGCTCTGGTTTCTCCTTGAGCAGTTCGTAAACATAGGTCACGGCTCTAGAGCGTGAGAATTCAATCTCATCATTACACCAGACTTCGAGAATCTTGAGAATCTCGAAATACTGGTCTTTGAGAAATTGCTCAAAGGCCCAAATCACCAAGTGGCTCTTCTGAAGGCCACCGGGAAGGGGATCCCTCTCAGACCATTTGGGATGGCCTTGGAATGCAGACACAAGACTAGGCTGGTTGCCGAATGACTTCAATCGGCGGTCGCCAGGAAGCAGTGTGCCTTGTGCGAACATATCCTTAAGAGACCTTAACACTTCCACAGCCTGTGCACGACTCCTTTTCTTGCCCAGACCGACCAGGTTCTCCAAGGCTTTGGTGTTATGCAGAGGCGATTCTTGCACAGCAAGAGTCAGTGCAGAGATCTTGTCACTCAAGGTTCCTGAAGTCATTATGGTGGTGTAGAATTTGTGAGAAGATGAGGCTAAGCTTTGCTGTGCATCGGCATACATCTTGCTCTCCTTTTCGAGGAGTGAGTTGGCAAATTCAAGAACGCGGTCCACGATATGACGAGGCAGTGAGTTCGCTGACTTGGAAGAGGTTGGCACCGACGGGAGAGTGGTATTGTACCAGTCAGACCTCGGAGGAACGATCTGCATCTCGTGGTAAGTAACAGTCAATGAACGATGCAATGGCAAGTGATACTGACAAGTTTTGAGTATTCCTTGGGAACAACGAGTTCTGTCTTCACCGGAGCCTCCTTTTCTTTCTTTGCTGGCTTTGGAGCGGGCTCTGGAGAAGTTTCTTCGTCATTCTCAACCGCATCTTCATCATCCTCATCTTCCTGATCATCATTCTCATCCTCGTCTTCTCCTTCCTCCTCCTCCTCCTCATCTACATCCCCTTCCTGGATGTCTGCTGGCACAAATTGCCCGGCTGCCTCCAGCAACTTTGCCAACTCCTTTCGTAGTGAATCATCCTTCTTTGAATTCTTCGATTTTGCGGGGGTTTCCTCGGAGACCTCTAATTCTTCCTCCGAATCGATATCGGCAATCAAATCAAAGTCCTCCTTGTCGCCGCCAAGTGCAAGGATCTCTTGGCGCAGTGTTTCGTTCTCATCATCGCCCTGGGCTTTCGATTCTTTGGCGTCTTTCGCGCTCTTGTTCTCCTGAGCAATTACCTCGCCATTGCGATCTCGCTTCTTCCCCTTGGCAGAGCTTTGTTTCGACGTGGACTTGGCATCGGTCTCTGTGCTTTTCTTTGGAGAAACATTGTCAGAAGCCTTTGCCTTGTTGCCCTTCGCCTTATTCTTCGGCCCGCTCTTCTCGGCGTTCAACTTTTGTTCGATCTTTTGCCGCAGACCAGCAAATACACTGGAATCAAAATTGGGGAGAATATCGGCTGCGACTGCAGCAGCTTCGGTCGACATAGCACCGGAATCTGCAGCTCCTACAGAGCTTTTCCCTTTGCCCTTCGCCATGATATCTTGGGTTGTCGATATCAGTGATTTTTTTTCTGCCGCTCACTTTCCCAAAACCGATCGGGAGGCGGAGTCCGCCGGCGAATTGTCCTACCGCGCCGATATCAAAAACGCTCGGGCCAACGTCCAGAGCTCGCCCTGCCAAGAAAACATGGGCTTGAATCATGCTGTATTTTATTGTATAAAACTTTGGGAATCGTCTATCCCTGCTTTATTGTACTATACACTGTTTTCTGGTTCCTATTTTGATTTATTCAATCCATGGTGTTTGCGCTTTGCTCGGGGTCGGGCCGCAGCGTCGTGAGCCGGCCATGCTCCCGGCCTCTACGACTGCAAATAGCCCAGAGATGCGGGTTCAAGGTACGGATATCATGTTGAAAGGTTTTTATGGTCATGAACAATACTAAATGTATGTAAGACCGATGGCAGGAGTCGAACGTCGGGCTTCTGGATCCCCACAGGTGGTATCTCGAAAAAAATTGCTGATGGCGGAAAAGGTAAATGTCAATTTACTACCCTGATGTTAAAGGTCTAAGGCTAATATTTACCAGAGGATGCAAATGCTCTGCTGGTCAGGGGTGGCTTTCTTCGCCAGGTTGGTCCTCAGCCCGAGCCTAGTGATCCAGGCTCATCTAACCCCGATGAGTAGGCGTATTCTGGGGTATTCCATCTCTTACCTCTTGGATTACGAGTTCAAGATAAATTTGAGCGTTTAATTGACAAACATATGCGATCTCTCGGTAAGCTGCAGCTTCTAGGGTTTCCGTTTCCTAACACCATCTAACAAGTTGTGACAGGAGCATCAAAAGTCGCGCTCTCATCAATATCTTCCCAAGAACTTTGGGAAAAATCCGGTCGACTGACTGAAGATTCTGAGGTAAAACTGATGTGATTTAGATGTCAAGGATTTGAGCTGATTGAATGTCAGGTTTTTCGATTCACGGATCGGAAGGAGTCCCGCTTCCTTCTTGCCCCAACCCACGAAGAGGAGATAACGACTCTGGTAGCCAGTCTCACCAAGTCATATAAGGATCTTCCCTTACGACTTTACCAAATCAGTGAGTCATTAATATCCAAAAATCATCGGGTAGCGCTCACAGAAGTAAAGCAAGGAAATATCGCGATGAGCCGAGGCCAAGACAAGGCCTGCTTCGCGGGCGAGAATTCGTGATGAAAGACCTCTACACTTTTGACTACAATGTTGAAGAGGCACTGAAAACATACCATGCTGTAAAGGGTGCCTATGTTCAACTATTCAAGGAATTAAAGATACCCTTCCTGGTTGCTGCGGCGCACTCTGGCAGCATGGGCGGGAGCATGAGTCATGAGTTCCACCTTGAGAGCTCAAAAGGCGAAGACAATGTCATCAGCTGCTCGCATTGCGATCATGTATACAACGGGGAACTTGAAAATGGGGTGTCCAATGCACCCGATTCCCAGGCTTCACTCGCTAGCGAGTCGTTTGGGGCAACCAGTGGAGGGCCGCCTGCCATATCAAATGGTTTATGGATGGCCATTTCCAGCGATAGAAAGACGCTGGTAAGAGGGTGGTATCCGGAATTCCTTATGCAAGAAGGCAACGAGGAGCCTGTCAGGCGGCGAGTCAGTTCGCACGCTGTCAAATCGATTGCCCAGGCTGCTGGTGTGGACTTGGACCTGAGCATCGAAAAGCCTCTGGAACTATGGGTTGCGAAGCTCAAAGTCGACAAATCATGCGGCTCTGGGTCTGCAAGAGTACTGGATCTGTACGATTCGCATGTACGCGTATACAAACGCCCTCCTCTGAGCGACTTGATGAACGAGCTTGATTTACCCACTGTGGAGGTCGAATATTCGATGCTAGACCGCTTTCCCGGAACGAACCATGGCCTTAGCCTTCTCCAGGTTCACGACGGCGATAAATGCCAGAAATGTGCCCAAGGATCTCTCAAGGTCCACACCTCTGTCGAGCTGGGCCATACCTTTCACTTGGGTACGCGCTATAGTGAAGTTCTAGAGGCATCCGTGCCAGTGAATCGATCATTACTTGATGCCCCGGAAAGCTCGAGCACTTCATCATCCGAAAGCCAAATCGTCCCGATGCAGATGGGTTGCCACGGCATTGGAGTCTCCCGACTGATCTCAGCCGTGGCTGATAACCTTGCCGACTCGCGGGGTCTGAACTGGCCGAGAGCCGTGGCGCCTTACGAGGTCGCTGTGGTCCCTGGAGAGGGACTCGAAGAAGTGGCTGAGAAGGTGTACGATTCGTTGACCACAGACCCGACCACCTCTGCTGATGTGATCCTGGATGACCGTACCAAGTCGATTGGATGGAAGCTGGGCGATGCCGACCTTATTGGATACCCAGTCATCATTGTGGTCGGTAAAGGATGGAAGAAGCAGCAAGTCTTGGAAGTTCAATGCCGTCGCTTGGACAACCTCCGAGAAGACGTTTCACTTGAACAACTGCCGACATTTGTCAAATCTCTGCTGGATAGACTTTAATCTGCGACTGATGTATCACAAACCCGTGTAATTTTTATTCTGTACAATAACAATACTATCATCTTCTCTCAAACAGACCTCGTGTCTAGCTATAGAAATCTGTATGCTTGCCATCAAGTCCTCCGTTGTATTGTAACTACCAAAGCGGTGGGACATGTTTTCTCCACCCGTAAAATCACCGACATCAAGTTAACAACACTCCGCTTAGAGTCCGCCCATCGCAGAGCGAACCCTTTCTCAAAAAGGACCACAGCACTCAGTAGAGGCTGCTTACCTAGCTTGTATTCTTATTCTTTTCCTTCCTTCTTCTTTGCTCGATACGCACAGTCCAAACACAATGCCACCGCCGAACACCCCCGCATCGGCATCGGGCTCAGACGATGCCCCCGCAGGCTCAGGTAAAAAAAAAGAATAGCTCTTCCCCCCCCCCCCCCCCCCCATGACGTCGAGCCAATGAATCTTCTATTTCTAGCAAGAAAAGAGGTTGTCTGCCTAGATAAATTGCTAAATGTTGCTATTGTTTAGTGAACATTACGTCCCTCCCCGTCCCGCAACTGCGCAGCCTGCAATCGCGCCTCACCACCGAGCTCGAGCACCTTACCACATCACACGCGAAGCTGCGTGCAGCGCAGTCCAAGTTCCGGGACTGCGTGCGATCTATAAACGACGGGGTTATCGGTTCGGAAAAGAAGGAAACACAGGGGAGAGACGATATCCTGGTCCCGTTGACGAGCTCGCTCTACGTCAAGGGAAAGCTTACAGATCGGGAGAAGGTGCTTGTCGATGTTGGAACGGGATTCTACGTTGAGAAGGTGCCTTATACCGTTACCCATACCTTATGGTTCCGATGTCTCTCTATGGTAATGCTGACTGAACCAATTAGACTACCGCTAAAGCAATCGATTTCTATAATGGCAAAGTGAAGGACTTGGAAGCCAACCTGCAGGACCTTGAGAAGATTGTCCAGGGTAAGAGTACGCACTTGAGAGTCGTCGAAGACGGTATGTTGCATCAACTCCTAAATCGACCTTCCCAAGTTCACTGACGTGTATTAGTTCTGAGACAAAAAGTGTTGAGTGGAGAGGCTGCTGCCACTGCGGCTGGTTGAAGTGGAATCACTTGTGAAGAGTGATTTTCTTTTTAGAAATATATGGAAAAAATACTTCAATTCTATTGTGACCCCCTTTTACCTTGCTCCAGGCCAGTGACTTGAAGTAGAGATACTATTTCCTGTGGATGTGGATCTACGATTTCCGGTTTGTTGCCGCTATTAAAATAGGGGAAGATGGGAATAAAGATGGCTCTAAAGATTTTTGAATGGTCTAATTTAATGCTTTGCTATATGGTAGGCTTGAAAATGTCGATGAAAAACCCCCATGATGACCCCGAAGAGTACTCAGGGCATTCAGGCAATGCTCTAGCGGCCGTTATGGTCCTGAACAGTCCCTAGAAAAGAGTACCCAGATCGACATCCAAGAGTACCGCTGGCTTCTGCTCATCAGATTTCTCCGAGATAGTCGATGCAGTCGTGCTTGCATTGTACTTATGGACGGTTGCCTTCTCCATGACCTCGGTTTGGCCTTCCTTGGGTGTTTCTGTATCCTGGACCTGCTTGGTAGATGATTGACGACTAGGTCCAAGTAGCTGAGCCACCTGTTTGATGAGATCGATGCACTCCCAGAATCCCGAGTTGTTTTCTTCACTTTGGTTGGAATGTTCCTTGGAGGGGAAGAAGGTGGATATCTTTGGATTCCATCCGGCAATGTAACCAACCGGCATGTTGGCGTGCTGGCCCAAAAGGTTATCCCAATGGGGACCAAAGATCGACGCCCCCCACGATGTAGAGGGAACATCGGACATTGGACCCGTCAATTCAGCTCCTCTGGCAGTCACTGTATTCTTCCGGGAGTATTCGTCATACCGGGCAAGCTCAAATGTATAGTTGGTACCTTTGAGCCGATACTGAAGCGCGGTCTTCTCAACAAATCGGGATACTGGGGCATCAACCGGGAAAATGACCTTTCTCTGTGATTTTGCAGCAATTCCACCTTCCGTAGCAGCACGTCGGAAGCCAATAGAGTGAGAAAACACCTTAAGTGCAGTATCGATGGATGAAGTTTCGTGGAACTCCAACGATTTGATCTCAATTTGCCAGTCCGATCTAGACACCACATCAGAAGAAGAATGGAAACATGTTTTCCTTGGCTATCTTACCGATCAAAATCAACCGTTGCAACCTGAAGAGGCGTCTTTTCGCTTTCTGTCTGTACTTTGTTGCGAGGTCGTACCCAACGGCGTTGAGTAATTTCATAGTCCTGCGCACCAGGGCGCTTTGCAAACTCAGCCTCGAGGCGAAGAAGGGCGTTGTTGGAACCCAGGAATTCAAAATTCACGGAATAAGCTGGTTCGGCGCTTTCCAAAGACTTTGAAGTTGTTTCCAAGGGGTCAAAGAGATGGGTCGCATTGAAGCACCTACGGAGTAGTTCTTGTTGGCTGGGAACCAATCTGAAAGCGTTCAATCAGCACATGGACTTCAGTCGTGAAAGTATTCAATCCTACCCTGGAATCAATCGTCCTTTTGTTTGCTCAATTGCGATCATCTCCCAGAATTCTTCAAAGGAATAGCCACACATGTCTTGCTGTGGAACACGATATTTGTCGAAGACGAAAGAGCCAAAGTTGACACGCATGCGCAAATGACCACGGACATACTTGAGGCCCTGGAGCGACCTCTCAAGAGTACTTAGAATCCGAGACTTGTTTTTGGATTGAATCGATGCAGCTTTGGAACGCCAGTCATCTAGATCATAGATGATGGGTGCTTTCATATCTCCCTGAATGCTGCTCTTAATAACACGGCCTGGGGCTTGAATGACGAGCTTTTGCTGGAAAGGACCCCCTTGGGGTGGCTCTGCCACGTATGTTTTTGATGTCACATTGTTCTTCACAATTATTTCACTCCATTTGGCCCGAATACGGTGAACAATCTGTCGTATGATGTCTTGCTCATGTCCGAGGACGCAGATACAGTTTGGAAGTCCACTAGGAATGAAGACATGATAGCCGTATCTTGCTCGTATGTTGTCAAGAGCCTGTAATTCCTGACCAAGGCAATCTTTCATTGAAGGTCCATCTGTAGGCCAGAGGAAGAGAAGCTGTGACCATAGTTAACAAGGGTAGCCTCAAAGAAGCGCTTGAGATCTTTCACCTTCTCCAGAAACATTGTCGTTGGGTCTGGAGCCTTTCTAAGTCTCAACAACAGATTCTCTTGTCTCTCTTTCATATCGATGTCTGCCTCCTTGACAGTGGAGTGAGCATTGATCCTTGCCCATTCAACTTTTTTCTTGTAAGAGGAGACCTGGCATCTCTGGATCAGTCCTTCCAGTAAAGTTTTTGCGGCCTCAACCTGGTTTAGTTCGCCCCAAATGTGTAAGGCCTTATTTCACGCTTATTAGCTATGTTTTCGGCGTTGGAATGAGACGCCGCGTACCAGATCAGTATAGGCTGGTGGTTTGATATATGCCCCAGTCTTGCGACAAATATCTTCAAAAACTTCACCTCGGCCAGGCAATTTCCCACTAGAAGCTGTTCTGGCTATTCCAAAAACCCTTTGAATAGAGTAAGCCTAAGATATGTGGCCAACGGAATCTCCTGTCACTTACTCTCGTTTCAAAACGCCAAAATGGACAGGCAATTTCATTATAGCTGTTTCATCCGTGGTCAGTAAATGAATACAAAGGTCAAGACGATCTTTATTTTTCTCAAGGGCTTACCAGTAGGAGCGCCCCCATTTCTCCATTTTGATTTGGCAGGAGAGTCATTAAACAGCACTGGAGGACTTTGTGGCGTGGTATTATTAGGTCGGGAACGTGTTGCAATATATCCTCGACGCCCCCCTAGTGCCCGATAGTTACTTCTACCACGAGAAGAGCTAGTTCCGCGAGAGGAATTGGTCGTGCGAGAAGAATTTGTGGCAGTAGGCGCTCTGACAGAAGGAGGGACAGTTTGAGTAGCAGATGGACGGGTCCCATGATTCTCTTTCTGACGAGGTCGCTCAGCGATGACAGTTGTTTTAGCTGCCTGAGTAGGAACAGTTTTGCTTCCTGCTTCAGGTGGACGACTAGGCACTTTTCCGCCATATCCAGGGACATCCCACTCTAGATATCTCATGTTAACTGTCTCCATCTCTCAATCAAATCAAGCAGTATTGTGGGAGAGTGATATCTAGCATATAACTATAGTAGATGGAGCCTTACCGTCGGCACCGGTACCTTCATGGCTATATTCATATTAGTAAAGATAGGACTATTGAATAGACTTGGACTCACTCCTTTCCAGAAGGGGAACGGGCCTTCTCTCCTGCCATAGTAACTATAACAGTTGATCTCTGCCCTTTCTGCTATATACCAAGTGGACAGTTGAAAGTAATCGACCTAGTATGTCTCATGTAAGCTTCCAGTGACTTGGTTCGATAAGAATATACGAAGACAGAAACTAAGATAGAAAGAGCAATAAAGCACAGCTTTACCTTTAATATTAGTAGTCTCTGGAAGGAGATTCTCGACAGGAGGGGTTAAGGTAGCTGTCAGCCAGTGTATCCAGTGTATCCAGGAGTGTTGGTGGAGGACTCAAATTTCCAGAAGGAAAGAGCCTCAAAAGATCACCTGCCACGGTCACTGGACTCACTGCAAACAGACAAATTGGACTTCACTTGATCGGAAAGCTGCAGAATCGAAGAGACAACAGTCAATCTGGGATTAGATATGAATTTTCTCCATGGTATTCATCTATATTGCTAGAAGTTAATGCAAAATATATCTGAATCTAGTGAATACAGAGTCAAGTATTAAATAAATACATTCATTCACCTCTTATGCCTGTCTTTAGACGTTCCCCATTCACAGATATTCGAAGGTATATATGATTGTGACTGGTGATTGGTCAATTTGTCTAGCTTTGCCGCTAACCTAATTTGGCCAAAAGTGGACAACGCGTGAATCCACGCGTTCCCAAACTGACGGACAGCTTTTTTTCGCGGTCAGCTCGAGTGCCTTGTTTGGGTGGAATTCTGGACGTCGACCATCAGCTCAATCTTATATTTGCAACTCTAGCAATGGATTCAGACGATGAACAGCCGATTTCACAACCTCCCCAGCGCAATAATGCCCGAGAGCGTGCTCAAAAATGGATGACCAAGGGTGGCCTTGTTCGAGATGACTCGGACGATGAGCTCGGGGAAGAAGATCATCCCTGGGATTGGATTTATGAAGAGGACGAGGAAGAGAAAGAGGAATCACGAAGACAAGGACTGAATGGGTCTGAGGTTGCAGGACCAGAGGGTGCTGGCGAGCCGAGTCGACGGCGCTCCTCCCGTTCTGGGGCGAAACGACAACAGACCATCATAGCAGCCCGCATGGGCACTTTCGAGTGCCGAGTGGGACAGATCATCTTGCTGAAGTCTCCGGAACCCGGGAAGGATTGGGTCGGAATCATCACAGAGTTTGTTGAAGATGAGGATGACGATGGGGAGACGATCAAGTCGGCGAATATCATGTGGTTCGCATCGCCCGACGAGTTCATGTCGACCAAAAACAAGCGGAGATCAGACGCTCTTCCAAATGAGCAGTATCTAACACTGGATTTCAACATCAACCCTTTAACCTCAATCAACGGGAAGGCGACTGTCATGTCTAAAGATGCCTTTTACGCCAGGTATCCGAATGGCTCCCCACCGAAGGGGAAAAACCAGCTGGCGGAGTACAACAAATGCATTATTTGCCGAAGAGGGGTAAATCAATTGCAGGGAAGGTATACGGAAGAGTTTGTGTGGGAAGATGTCTACGATGAAACCAAGATTTTTGGTCTCATTGACATGATCAAGAACGGTCTGAAGGCGGCTAAAAAACGCAAAGCGGAGGACAGCGATGTGAGTAAAATACCCACAACGTATGCTGGCTCGTCAGGTCCATACTAATGCTGAGGGAAATAGTATGTGTATCAGAAAACTGATGATAATGTCCCAACTACGCCGAGGAAGAAACAGAGGACTACGAATGCAACCCCTCAATCACGGCGTCAGAAGACGCTGACTACGCCAACTCATAAGCGGTATGATTGAAGAGCCCCTGCTTTTGATTTACATGGATAGAGACTAATCAATATACAATAGAATCGTGGTCAAAAAGCCGCTGGAATTCACTCCTCTCGGTACCCGTGTTCTTTCGCCGTCACACTTTGCTTCCCCCTACCGCCAGGCACGTACACTTCTTCACGTCTCTACAGTGCCTACCTCGCTTCCTTGTCGAAAGAATGAGTTTGACACCGTCTACAATCACCTGAGTGCGGCCATCATGGAGGGGACGGGCACTTGTATCTATATTTCCGGTACCCCAGGAACTGGAAAGACCGCCACTGTTCGCGAGGTGGTTGCGCAGCTTAATCTTGCTGTGCTAGCGGAGGAGCTGGACGATTTTGTCTTCGTCGAGATCAACGGCATGAAAGTCACAGACCCCCATCAGTCGTACTCACTGCTTTGGGAAGCTCTGAAAGGTGACCGCGTCTCTCCCTCTCACGCCCTGGATCTTCTCGAGAGGGAGTTCTCGACCCCTTCCCCTCGCCGTGTTCCCTGTGTGGTGCTCATGGATGAGTTGGACCAGTTGGTTACCAAGAATCAGTCGGTCATGTATAACTTCTTCAACTGGCCTGCTCTCCGTCATTCTCATCTGATCGTTCTGGCTGTCGCAAACACGATGGATCTGCCCGAACGAACCCTCAGCAACAAAATCTCAAGTCGTCTTGGACTCACCCGTATCACATTCCCGGGGTACAAACACACAGACCTCATGGAAATCATCACCACACGGTTGTCAAATGTCCCCGGAAATATCGTCGACCCGGACGCCGTCCAGTTTGCTAGCCGCAAGGTTGCTGCTGTCAGTGGTGACGCCCGGCGCGCTCTTGATATTTGCCGCCGTGCCGTTGAGATTGCAGAACAAGCCTATGAGGCCCTCGGCGTCAAGAAACTTGATATTGATATCGATGAAACGATCATGGAAGAGACCGAGTCGCTACCTCCGACTCCAAGCAAGACTCCCGCTCGTCGTGAGAAAGCGAACGAAAGATCCAAGGCACTGAACACGAAGCGGGAGCCAACTCCACAACCTAACAACAGTCGCGTTCGAGTCACCATCGCTACGATCAAGCAGGCCATCCAAGAAGCAACCTCCACCCCCCTACAGCAATCCCTACGCTGTCTTCCTCTCTCTGCGAAGCTTTTCCTCGCCGCGCTCTTGATGCGAGTCCGCCGCACTGGCATCTCAGAGACGACGTTTGGCGACATCCTCGACGAAGCCAAACGCATTGCTGACGCCGCTGTCGCCGTTGCCGGTGCCGCGGGGGGGAACGTCCGGCAATTCCTGCTGGGCGAGGGCAGCGGAGCCCGTGTCCAGGCCCTCGGGTTCGTCGCAATGGAGCTGATGAACTCAGGCGTGATTGCTTTGGAGCACGGGGCGGGCATCAAAACCCTGGGCGGGTCGCTTGTCTCAGCTCGGGGTGACCGGAGCAGCAAAATTAGGCTCCGGGTTGCTGCCGAAGACGTACGAGCAGCGTTTCGAGAAGACACCGAAGCCAAGAGCTTTGGGTTGGGCATTGATCAGTGATTGCCTTGTTTACTTTAATAACTATATTTTATGATACCCCCGGCGAGTTGTACGCTACCATTGGAAGGATATAGAGGTACAGACCATGTTCAAATTCATGACAGGACTATAGTACAGAGCCAACGAAAACCCCTAAACCTCAACCTAGAAACATGAAACCTTTTCTAAAGCAGTGAAACCGTATTAAACTCCATGTGGTGCAAAAAGAGACACCGTGATAAGATAGTTCAAAAATAAAGGGGGAAAAAAAGGGTATAATGACTAGTATCGCTGCCTGCCCAGAGTAGGAGCCCAGGTGACCGGGTGCGTCTCGGGCGTGGCCTCCTCGTCTTGCTTCCAGATTTTGATGGTCTTGTCAGCCTCACCGGTGATGAGGCGCAGACCCGTGCGGTCGAAGGTGGAGGACATGATGCCGGCCTCGGCCTCGAGGGAGCCTGGCTGGGCGGTGGTGTCGATGGATTGGAAGCGGTAGCCGGTCTTCCAGTCCCAGAAGGAGATGGAGCCGTTGTCGCCGCCGGAGAAGAGGACGTTGTCCTCGTTGACGGCGAGGGTATTGATGACGGCATTCTGGCCCTCGAAGTTCTGCATGAAGGCGCCCTCGGGGCACTTCCACTGCTTGATACTACCCGTGCTAGCACTGGCGAAGGTGAACTCGCGCGGGTGCGTGGCGATGCTGCGCACACCCTTCTTGTGGTGCGTCAGCACACCCATCGTCTTGCCCGCCGCCAGATCCCACAGGCGCACCGTGGCATCCAGCGAGCCCGTGATCACCTGCGGGTCGGCCTCCTGGCACTTGAGGTCGGCGACGGTGCCCGAGTGTCCCGACAACACATGGACGTTGCTGCGGGTTCGCATGTCCCACACGCGAGCGACGCCGTCGCGGCCGCCCGTCACCAGTAGGTCAAGCCGCGGGTGCAGCGCCAGCGTGTAAACACCGCTCAGGTGGCCGTGGTAATGGCGGATGACCTTGTTCGTCTCCAGGTCCCAGCACTTAACCATCTTGTCCTCGCCGCAGGAGAAGAGATACGGATGCCGTGGTGAGACGGCAAGCCCCCGAACCGTTGATATATGGCCCGTCAGGGTGAGTCGTAGAGCCCCCGTCGCCAAATTCCAGATCTTGATCGTCCGGTCGCCGGCGCCGCTCGCAAACCATTCATTGTTCGGTTCCACCGCCAGACTCCGTACCCAGCCCAAGTGGCCCGAGATCACTCGCATCAGCTTCCAGGGCGCGTGCCATTCTGGGGGTTGCTGCCGGGTTGCTGATGGCCTCTGGATCAAACTCTTCGCCTGGCTCTCGCCTGCTGCAGCACCGCTCAGTCCGGGAGCTTTCTTCACCAGCGCCATCGACGCGCCGCTCTGGTCCCCAGCACCCTGCTGTTTCTGTGCCGACTGAATCTTGGGCCGTTTCGAGCGGCCGACAGCGAGCTTCGCCTGTTTCTCTGCCAGGGCTGGCGGCAGCTCCTGAACATCCTGATATTCTGCTTTGCGTCGATACGAGAGGCCGATCGAACCGTTGTACGTCGAGGGTGTCACCATGAGGTAGTCAGAGCCAAAGAGCTCCGCCGTCCGCTTGGCAGAAACACGAACGGCGTCCTCTGCCGGCGTATTGGGTTGGATGACATCCATTGTGGAATCGATAGCGTGTCGGGGCGTCTATCGAAGAAACCAGGGCGCGGTGGTGTCGCGTGTGAGACCCCGGAGGGTGAGCTTTCCAATGACCTCACAGGTGAAATCGAGCAATTTTTTCTAAATATGTTCAAATGTACCCTTGATAAGTCTCTAACGCTCGAAGGTGTGGTGGTCGCGACAACGTGTTCCTGCTTGGAGATGAAGTTGTGGCGGAGGTTTTTGGTGGATTGTTGGCCTTATTGCCTTGAAGCCTGAGGCACTGACGCCCCGCCTCGATAAGAACGACTCCGTGCTATCAGTACAAGCTGAACAGCTTCACGCCCCTCTAACTGTGAGAACAAGAACCATCTACGTCACGATGCAACCAGATCCGCAAGCAAAGTTTGCCCTGCACGAGGCTGCCAGGGATGGGAAAAGTACTTGGCCCCGGGAAATGTGACTGACTGTGTCGCCGGCCATGCTGATGCTGATACCTGATAGCTTCCATCGCCGAGTCTCTTCTGAACGTGAGTCTCGTCTAGACGTATTTGGGTGGCAACCTTTTGTATGTGTGCTATATCTAACTAACCCAAGGCAAACCCCAAACTCGCACTGGTTAAAGACGATGACAGCCGACTTCCTATCCACTGGGCGGTAGCATATAACCGACTGCCTATTGTCGAGCTGTTAGTGGCGAGCAGGAACTTTGACCCGGACGTTGAGGTTTGATATCTCTTACCATTATAAGAAGATGATGGCTAAGTTCCACAGGATGGATCAGGATGGACACCACTGATGATCGCAGCCAGTCTGAGGGACGCCGAGGGTGACCCGATCCTTGAGCTGCTCCTGCGTAAGGGAGCCGACGTGAGTATGAAAAGCGTCACCGGCCAGGTAACTACCTACTTGCAGAACCCACAATGAAGAATTAAGAGCCATGCTGACGAGGTAGAATGCCCTCCACTTTGCCACCTCCAAGGCCAACCTATCGACGGTCCGCACCCTGCTAGACCACAAGTGCAGTGCGCGCGTGAAGGATCAGCGCGGCCAGCTGGCGCTGCATCGCGCTGCGGCGATTGGATCGGTGCCTATTCTCAAGATACTGCTGGAGCAAGGGAAATCACCACTCAACGCCTCAGACATGGATGGCTTGACGGCGCTTCACCACGCCATCTCTGAGGGTCACGGTGACGCAGCCATCTTCCTGCTTAAGGCGGGCGCGGAGGCAGACAAGCGCGATGCTGGCGATCACCTTGCTATCGACCTTGCGCCGGATGCAAAGGTATGTATGCTTTGCTCTTTTACTTCATGCTACCGCTTGCTGACTGTACTCTCCAGGTCCGGAAGTATATTCTCCAGACCGCGGAAAGAGAGGGGATCGAGCTTCCGTAGTGTACCAAATCGTTTAATACCCACTGTACCACAGCAAAAGAAGAAGAAGAAAAGTCAAAAAGACCAGTATAAGTTCATCATTGCTATCATAAATACCATCGCCCAAACGGTGTATATACAGAATTCCCTTCCGTTGAAAGGGCATAATCAAGAAACACCATTACTTCATGGTGCTGTCGACCAGCTCGCGGTAGATCTTCTTCAGATCGGCGATATCAGCATGCAGCTCCTCGACCTGCTCGCTCTTCTCGCCCAGCATCTCGAGGGTGGTCTGATACCGCTGGTCCAGCTCCTGCAGACGGGCCTCGAGGTCAGCGACATGCGCATCGGATGCCGTCTTGGCTTCAACCTCGCGCATGAAATCGACAACTTGCTGCCGCGCCTCGTCACGCTGCGCCGTCACCCGCGCCAACTCGTCCTTCAGCGCCGTCCGCTCGCTCTCCAGCCGCCGCACGGTCGCGCTCATCCGCTCCACCAGCTGCACCGACGGGCCGGCACCTACCGTCGACTCGGAGATTATGTCATTGATGCCTACGTTGCTGCTGCCGCCTGCTCCGCCGCTGTGGCCGCCGCGCGAATGGACCGTTTGCGTCGTGGCACCAAAGACGGAATGAGTCGCCGGGGTCGCGGGGCCGCTGAAGAACTCGTCCGGTTCAAAATTCGGTGGCTGCGGCGGCTCCATGATCGTCGGATTAGACAGCGGATGGCTCATCGACGGGGAGACAAGCGACAGCGTGGGATACGAGTTCTGCCGCGGCGGAGTCATCACGTCCGGGGACGTTAAGGTTGCCGGCGGCGCCACTGACGAGGAACGGTGGCTGGCAGACCGGTAGTCTGACAGGGATGTGGTGTCCAGATAGCTGGGCCGGCGCGTATATGAGACGGGCGACTCGGTTCGGACCTGGTGGAGGGAATGGGAGGCCATCTGCTCCCGCCATTTCGCGCGCTCGTCATCTAGCCGTTGGGCCCATGAAGCATCGCACGCTTTCTTCTGCTCTACCAGATCTTTCTGGGCTCCCACGAGGTCGTCCGCGGCTCTCTGGAGCCGCTGCTCCAGCTTCTGGATTTCCTGTTGGTGGAGCTCAATGCGACTCTCCAGCTCTTGCTGGCGCTCTCGGGCAGATTCCAAATCTTCTCCTACCCTCTTGGCTTTGAGGTTCTGGTCCATCGTTAGTGCAGTGATAATTTAGCCAGATATTAAGATACTTACCGTTTCACGTAGCTTTCGTCTCAAATCACCCTCGCGCCGTGCAACCTCATCCCGTTCCCTTTCCACGTTTGACAGCCGAGACATGAGCGAACTTTCCAGCGTCTGCCAGTTCTCACTCGCGACCGCATACTGCGTTTGTAAAGTCTCGATCTGTCGGAGCAGCTTGGCTTGTGTGTCTCCGGCAACACCGGACGAGGCCTCCTCCGCCCTGGACCGCAAACTTTCCATCTTGCTCTCAAGCACGGCCTGCTCGCTTTTCAGCTCCATCTCCTGCATCCGAGCCTTTTCCTTCTCCTGTTCCACGCTCTTCTTCAGGTCTTCGATCTCACGCCGCATCTTCTCCTCAGAGATCTCCCGTTCTATATTCGCGCTAGTTAGGTTCTCCTCCAACTGTGCAACCCGACGACGTTCCTGTTCTAGCGCGTCTGACTGGGCCTTGACCTCTGCCGCCTCGGCGCGCGAGACAGCGCGAGCGAGCTGAGCCTTCATCTCCTGCACGGTCTGGCTCAGAGTGTCCCGCTCCGCAGTAACCAAGTCCAATTCTCGCAGTGCCTTATTCTGGGAGTTCAGGGCATCGCTCGCACGTTTCTCTGATGCTTCGGTTCGTTTCGTTTTCGCTTCGGCGATCGCGAGATCTCGTTCAAGCCGGTCGCTATGTTTTCTGGTTTCTGCCTGGGCCTTGTTGTTCTCAGACAGCTGGTGACGGAGCTTCTTGAGTGCCGTGCGGTGGTCCAGCTCGGATTTGGAGAGTTTCTGTCCTTCTTCAAGCAGCAGCGCGATCCTCTGATCCTTTTCCAGTAGCCGTTTTTCAACACTCCCCGGAGCAGCCGAGGCCGCCGCCTGGTTCGCCGATTCGGCAGCTTCTTTGGCAAGATACTTTAGTTTAGACTGCAAGGCGTCGATACGTTCAATATAGCCGTGCATCTCTTCTTGCCATCGCAATTCGGCTGCCTGGTGCTCGGCGAGTGCGATCGTTGCTCCGGAATCATTTGTCACCTGTGGAGTATCGTCCACCATTATTTGTGCCTCTTCCACTTCAATAGCCTTCTCGGAGTCTAGTTCCAAACTCTGGGGGTTTTCGGTGTCTTTAGCAACAGCCGTGCCGTCAAGTGCATCCTTATTTGAGGAGTCCCCCTCCGCCATCTCGCTCACATCCTTTGAGTGCTTCGAGTCAAAGCTGGCTCTGGGCGCCTCATCAAGGGAAGCCCGGTTCTGCATGCGATCCTCAACGTCCACGGCGGCCGCATCTAACGCAGGCTCGATATCCATGCTAGACCTTGCATCGCTGCTTGGCGCCGGGCTGATGATCGGGGATGACATGCGGCTCGAAGACGACTGCCCGGCGAGGGTTCCCGAAGCATTTGACTTGACCATTGCTCGGGCAAGACGCTCTTGTAAACGGTCATTTTTCCGCGCGTTGGAGGAACTTCGTGACACCGCTGCACCCCCACATGTATTAGCAGACATCCTGTAACGAAAGGGTAGTAGACACGGTCTCATCACATACACACAGCATTAACTTTGTCCTTTTGACCCTGTAGAACCTCGAGCTGACGAGCTCCACTCTCCCCCAGACTCTTCTCTGCTGTCACGGGCTTCGACGAGGGTAGATCCTCTGGGTCCGCCAGAATCAGGTCCAACCGCGACTCGACGCCCGCAACAGCCTGCTGCAGAAAGGAGCCCATGCCCCATTTGGGCTTCTGCGCCGGGGGTTTCTGTGCCATAGCGATTGACTCGTCACTGCTGTTGCTGCTCTGCTTCTCTGTGTTCACTCAGGAGGCAGGCAGCCGCGCGGGCGTCTCTATAGCACTCGGGTGCACCGGCACACTCACAACCCAAGAACCGACATACGCACACGAGACGATAATTAACCAGGTCAACAATCAGATCGAAGAATTAGCCTGAAACACAGAGCGTAGAGCCGTTCGTCGCCCCGTCAGTCATAAAGAGTCGAAAAGAGACCAGGCGCTAGCGTGGGGCGGAAGCTTCCTCCAGCTTCGTTATCTGGCACTCTTGGCTGTACCACTACAGCAACCACCGCAGCACAGCAACACCCAGGCCAGCAAGGCCACCGCGCTGTACTTCTCTTCTATATTTTGTTTGGATCACAGGGACTATCTGCGCACGATGTCGGTTACACTAGAGCCACCAACCTACCTGAGCTCGTTGCAGAACAATATTCGAGCACGGCCGATCCCGTGGGAGGGGGCCGTCCGGGCAGGCAGCATCACCGATGAGCATCTGAGGAAGATCAAGGCAGTAGACAAGGTCCGCAAGGAGCAGAGACGCCAGACAATCGAGGCGGACATCGAGGGTTATGTCCACCTGCTGGCGGGTTCGACAGGGGGGAAGAGCGTGCTGGATGCGGCTGCTCGGCGGTCGGATATCGTGCAGTATATCCTGGTGTTGGCGGCCGATTTAATCAATGGTACGTTATTTATTATCGTATATAATTTTCATTTGTATTTTCATTTGTATTTGATTTACTGACTATGCTTGATAGATGTCCCTGTGCTCGCCTCGTCGCTGGTGGCTCACCCTAACCCGTACCAACCGTTTCTCCCTCTGCTGCAGCACTCGACGAACCCCGAAGATCCAATTCCCCTACTGACCGCGGCCTTTCTGACGGGGCTGGTTTCCCAGAGTCTGGTGACGGCATCGAAACCGGCGCCACGGGACGACGATGCACTGCCCCGGCTGTACACGTACCTAGCAGCGTTGACCAAGAACTCGGACAGCGGGCTGCAGGATATTGGCGTGCAGGGCTTCTCGACCCTGCTGCGGACCCGGCGAGCGCGGGAGCTGTTTTGGGCGCAGCGACAGGAGACCGTCGAGGCGTTGGTTGAGATCTTGCAGGCAGCCGCGGGGCCGAAAGACGGAGCTAGTTCGAGTACTTCACGGGCCGTCGAGCCTGGTCTGGCCGGCGGCGTCGGCCTTCAGTTGCTGTATCGGGTGCTGCTGGTCATCTGGCAGCTCAGCTTTGAGGGCAGACTGGTTGGAGACTGCTTGCAGGAGTATGCCATCAGACCAAATAATCTTCTGCGGAAATCCTGTCGCTAATGTTATATACAGGGACTACGAGATCGTCCAGCTGTACACACAGCTGCTCCGCCTATCGCCCAAGGAGAAGACAACACGGCTGCTGCTCGCAACATTGAACAACTTGCTATCGGCGAACCGGATGACGCTGCTGCCGGTGGCGGTCTTTGTGCGGTTGCCGGCACTGCTGGCGAACCTAGCAGGCCGTCATCTGACGGACCCGGACCTGTTGGAGGACCTACAGGCGCTGACGGCGATGCTGGACGAGTATACTAAGACGCAAACGACGTTTGACGAGTATGCGGCGGAAGTGCAGTCAGGACATCTGCGCTGGTCACCGCCGCACCGTGACACGGCTTTCTGGAAGGAAAACGCGCGGCGCATCCTCGAGGACGCCTCGGGGGCACTGCCCAAGAAGCTAGCCGAGATCATCGCCAAACCCTGGGACACAGACAAACAGGTTCTGGCTATCGCATGCAACGACGTCGGTCAGCTAGTCAAGGAGGTCCCCGAACGTCGCGCCCAGCTCGAGAAGCTTGGCCTCAAGACCCGCGTCATGGAGCTCATGGCCGATCAGGACGAGGCCGTCCGCTGGGAGAGTCTTAAGGCCGTTGGTGAGTGGCTTCGCTATACGTTTGAGGGCTGATAGAGCTGTCAGATGTCAGGGTTGGTTTGTTCTATGGGTTTTATTGGCGAGTTTGTCGAATATTGGATTGTAGTTAGTTGGTACTAGACAGGCCGCAACTGTATAATTATCAGTAACATACAGCTGTCTAGCAGTGCTATAGATTTGCTATAGATTCAGCCCAAGTAGAATCCCTCGATAAGTCAAATGAAGCAGCACGAGTAACGAATTGGTCTTTCAAATAGTTGAGCACTGACCACAGCTTATCTCGTCTTATCTCGCTCCCAAGACTTCCTCTCTCTCCATTATTACTCACGGAGATTGACGGCGTTGATCTTTCTCGAGAAGATTCTCTGGTGTTAATGAATCGGTTGGTTGATTCTACATGGTTTCTCCGAAATTTATCGACAGGTAGCTAACGTGGCATGACTTCAGCAAACGCACCAACGTCTACGAAACCGTCGGACCGCACAAGCAGTAATCGAACACCGGCACTCCTCCGAACACTGGCAGCCCATGTCGCGATCGTTCACGGGATGCAAGAGATGTAAAGCACGCCGGCAGAAATGCGATGAGCAGCGCCCCGAGTGCAGTCGGTGCAGGACGGCGGGGGCGCCGTGCCAGTACACGATGCAGCTGCAGTGGGGAGGAAGAACCTTTTCACGATCACGATTTGGGGCGTGCGAGGGGATGCAAAGACTGGGTGAGGTCTTTTTTCTAGATCCGTCGATATTAAATACAAGACGGCTAATATTGATTCTAGAGTACTCGCCTGGAGAGTTCATCTATACGACCGGCTCCGAGTCAGGGAGCCCCGCGCTGCCAGTGAGCATCGGGCGAACGGTGAATCCATTCTCTTCCTTGACGACAGAACAGCAATCCCTGCTCCGTCATTTCATCACCGATGCCTCGCAGATAACAGCGTGCCATTCGGGGATGCGGGAAGAGATCTGCCGCATGTTGGTCCCGATGGCCCTGCAGACGCCCTCGCTACTGTATGCCACCACGGCGCTGTCGGCGATCCACCTGCAGGCGCTGAGCAACCAGTCCGCGAGCGTCAAGGACGCACCGGAGATAGCCCGGCTGATGGCGCTGAGTCTGGAGCATTTCCGTCGCGAGCTACAGGATCCTTCTTCCTCGGCGTCCGCGGATGCGGACGCCCTGCTGGCCACGGCGCGCACGCTGTGTCTTGCTGAGATCCATTCGGGGGCTCTTCATCCGCACACCTGGCGCGTGCACATTGAAGGCGCCAAGGCGCTGATGGCGTCGTCAGGGTCGAGCAAGAACAAGACCAGAACCGGGCACAGCCCTCCCGACGCTTTCCGCCGGTATCTCGACCGGTGGTACCGGGCGATTGTCGCGCTGACTGCGCTGACGGGGAACGGCCCGCCGATCGAGCAAACAGAGGTAGATAGCAATGCATCCGACCCGTCTTCGCCCGATTATCTCGACGACTACTGGGGTTTTTCGGTGCATCTGGCGGAGATCTTCCGCGAGATAGGCGCTGCTGCGTGGCGGCGCCAGCAGAAACTTAATAATAATGATGAAAATGAAAGCTCGGCAGATAGTCTGGAACGCTCGCTGCGGCGCCTGATGGACGCAGACCCCCCCACGTTCTACCCTGGAGTTCAGGAGGGCTTGTCCGAGCAATGTATCCGCGAGTTCGCGCTGTGCAACGAGGCCTTCCAGCACAGCGCGCTGATCCAGATCCACCGACGACTGCACGACACGCCAGACCCCTCGCGGAGCGAAGCCGTGCAGGCGTCCGTCCAGCGCATCCTGGCGTGCACGGTGCAAATCACGCCCTCGTCCGGGCTGAGTCCGTGGGTGATGCTCACCACGCCGCTGTTTGTTGCCGGATGCGAGGCGCGCGCCGAGGACCGCGCCCTCGTGCGCCAGCTGCTGGGCGCGCTGCACGACACCATCCGTGTGCCGAATGTGCTGCAGTCGTTGAATTTTCTGGAGCAGTACTGGGCGGAGCAGTTGGAGGGGGAGAGTTGGAGTCAATTTCTGGGTAAGTTACTCGTTTTTTTGCCTCTTTAGAAATGATGGATTCCATCGCTGACCATGCACAGAACGGATGCGGTTTGATTTCATCCCTTATTGAAATTTCTGATTGACGAGACGATAAGATGAGATATGATGAAAAGTACATATTTGCTTCATGTACATAGGAGTTTCATAGGTATAGCATTATGGTATTTATCTAGATCTTTGCTACTAGGTAGTACGGTCTACTTCAGAGCAGCGAGTCAGTAGTTTATTAATTTTACTACTTACCTTGATACTTGGTCACTGTACTGTGTACCTTACCTATATCCATTGTGTCTACTCCAGATATAAACCGACGTCTCTCCCTTGAACGACCCTCATGAATGCTATAAATCACATTCGAACCGTATGTTCATTTTAATCGCAAAAATGGATGCTCCGCCAGTTCGCACGCCGTCTTTCTCTCCTCTGGGAGCCAAGAAAGCATCATCTTCACAAACGACAAGAAGCTTTCTCTCTCCTTCTCTTCCAGGAATGGGAGAGTATCTGCGAATTTTCGATCTGGTATCAAGTCATCGTGCAAAAAGTTTCCTATGATGATTCATATTCATCAGTAATCTGATAAACGGGGTTTATACAGTCTGCAGGATGTTCCAAAAGTACCATGTTCATCAAAAAACCTGCCACCGAAATATTGCTCTGCACTTTCACAGACTTGGCCATCCTCTCTTTTTATGGGTTCAGGCCATTTATAGCCCAGCATCGACTGGGATCTGGCGATCAGCTCCGGAGGAGGATGGCCGAGCAAGGCTATCATTTCTGCGAGATGTGCCTTGGCATCATAACGACCTTGGTTATCATAGACCAGGCGGAACAGCTCTTTGCCCTGCATGATATCCCAAAGCTGAGAATAGTGGTTAGTTATAAAAAAAAATCAATCATGACTCGGAGGGGGGGGGGGTATAATAGCGCACAAGGATACCCAGGTTCCATATATCTGCACTCCTTTTCCAGGCACAGCCAAGGATGACCTCCGGGGCGCGGTAGTGGTCTGGCTGAATAGGATAAATACCCCAGTCATCGCTACCGAGTCTTGTGGCTAGTCCAAAGTCCACGATTTTAGGTATGTTTCTCACTTTCCTGAGTGGCCCGAAATCATTGTGACAGCGATAAACCTGCCGGCCTGTGGAATCGGTTTTGTATTGCATCGGTTGGTCAAGTTGAGAATCCATAAAGTCGCCGAGCACAGCCGGATCTTCAAAGGTGACCATGATATTTTCGAGTTTCAAATCTACAAAGAACGGTTTCTTTATAAGTCGGTATCTTTCTTTGCAAGTCGAAAAACACATACCAGTATGGACAATATTGCATCTTATATGAAGGTAATCAAGGCCCGTCAGAAGAAACCGAATATAGGTCTTGACAATGGGAAGGGGGATCCTCCCGTCCTTAAAACGCCTCTGGAAAAGCCATAATGGCTCCCTCATGGGCTCATATGCTAGGCATAGATGTCTTCCTTCCGGACCCTTAACCTCAAAGCATTCTAAAAAGGTTCGAAAGAGGGAATGGCCGCGGTGGGAAGGATCTGTATTAGCAATGTGAGTCTCCGTTTCGCGTTCATCATCGGCTGTATGTTTGTTTATATTGGTTATCTTCAGCGCTACAACGCTCTCCGGTTCTGATTCGTGTCTAGGACAGGTCAATTCCTCAGCAACACATGCCAGTCATTGTAGGAGATAGCAACAATACCCGCGCATATCACGAGCAAACCATACGGTAGATGAGACTCCCCAGCCAACCTTGACGAGGACTTGATAGCGATTGGCGAGTACCTCTCCGGGCTTTGCCGGGTAGAATTTCTCGGATTTGTAACCCGGGCAGATCTCCTCGTCAACAGGTTTGTGTTGGGGTAAAAGAGGCCCCGGGGGAGGGGTGGGAAGAGGAGTTCTGCGAAGCGAGGAGAACAGGCGCGTCCTTGTATTTTTTAACGACTTCATTTGCGCGTTTTCCACGTTAGCTGTAGACAAAGGTTTATAGTGATGCTGTTACGAGAAGGATGGCCTGCCCTGTGGCTTATAGCTAATCTGAGGTAGAATAAGAAGTAGAATGTCCTAAGCCTGAAAGTACAGAGAAAGTAGTGGTAGTGGTAGTTATCAGGTTCCCTTGTTCAGAAGACATGCTATGGCGGGTGGTTAAGTCCTATTATATCACTATCAGATTAATTTATGGGCAACAGTTCTATTATTTTATTTTATTCCACTACTTACTGATGTAGTATTTAGTATTTATTATTACTATTGATACTAAAGATGAAGGTTAATTGTTCAATCCTTCAACTTCGAATTTCTTTATTCGAATAGAATTTGGAATATAAATAGACCAGATATTTATAGTAAACTATATTGGTCCAGAATGGATGATAGGATAAATGTCAAACCAACTCATTTATAAGGGTCAAGACCAAAATTGTGGTATGAGAACCATGGAATGATTTCACCTGGTATCAAGACAGATATTATATTCTCCAGAGTAGTCATATCCCATCCGATACTCATGTAGATAGGGGGTAACTAACTAACTAGTTATCTGGGTACTTGTACTTGTACCTCCTATTTGAGATGCTTAGCGCTAGACACTATAGACACTATATGAGGTACTCCATAGCATACCAACTCTATATGAGGTTACTCCTATACTACATATACTATGTTAATAGGTTATACTATGTAGTATAGACTATCTAAATATTGTTTCACTAAATTAGTTTCATAGTCAAAGCTTAAACTTATTATTATTTATGGAGTATGGAGTACTCTGTATGTACTACATAGAATACTCTGTCTATCTTGGCTCTTACATGGTAATTTCGCCCTTGAATGTCTCAAGCCTCCTGCGTATCAGTTCAGTCCCTGTCTCGAAGAATATGTAGGACTGTACTACATATTAATTATGATAATAATTAATCTATCCTCTAATTAAATAAAAAAAATAGAAAACTACATAGTAATACCTCATGTGGATAACACTAATAATCCAAGTCCACCGACTACGCACGCTTAACTGTACTAAAAGATGACCACGAGCTTTCCCAGATGACAGACAGCAGCTTTACTTTTGCCTCCAACCACTCACTAACCACCATCGCCCACTCCATCTGGCTTCAGCTCACCACGCCCAACACGCATTCATCGGCATAATGATGAGTAAGTCCCTCTGCACTCCTGACAGGCTTGATTATTGGTGCGCTGGCCAGCTGAATCCTCTCCTGACTCCTGGCAGCGTCCCCTTACCGGCTCCACGCCCCCTTGTCTAGTCTGTCGATCGAAGCGCCCACGAGCCGACGACTCCCGCCTTCCCCCTCCAAGTTGGATGGGCCCAGGGGATACTCGCGGTGGATTGGACCGTCCATTTCAATCCCTGGTTCCTATCCATCATGGCTATACTACATACCCCTGAATCCTAAGGCACAACGCGTCCCTGGCCCGGTCTCCACCAAAGCCAGGCTCTCCCGCCAGCGAACGCCCACTGCTAAACTCCCCCCCCCCCCCCCCCGGCCGGTCCGGCCCAGTTTCGCTAATCTTCGCCCTCTCCTTTTTTTTTTTTTTTTTTCCCTTTCACTTGGCTTGCCATTATTGAGCTTTCTCATCAGGGAGACCGTGTTCAGTCTGAGACTTCTTTGCCGAGAATCTACTACCTGCCACGCTACGTACGAAGTACCACTCGATACGTACGCCCGCTCTGCCGTGCCGGACAATGAGCAACCGTGATCGACTACGATAGCGTGACCAAGACTCCCTGACAGGCTAACACGGCCCCGGGGGGCATATTAAGCCTTCGTCTGAATGAGCCGCCGTAGCAGCGGTGCGCCGCCAGTGTCTGGCGATGCCCGTCACTATCGACAGAGTTCCTCTGCCTCCTCCATCTACTCCTCCTACGCCGCCGACCCCTCTGTCCACTCCGACGCCTCCTACGGCCCTCCTCCTTCTTCTTCTTCTTCTCCTCCCCACGTCCTTTCTCCTCCGGTGCGCAGGAAACCGCTGCCGGAGCATGCATCGCCTATAGTCATAGCTGCCGGCTGGTCTGGGCGTCTTTCATCGCTTTCTGTCTCTTCTGAACAGGCTGGGGACGACCGTGTCGCGTCTTCCTGGGCCAGGGAGGATTCCTTGGGGAACAATACTATTAATATTAATAATAATAATAATAACAGGTGCGTTATTGAGTATCGACACTGGGATACTACCTAGTACCTACCTACCTACCTACTCCTTGAGAGGGGGATATCCCTCGTTCATCCCAGTTCTTGATCCAAACTAAACCGTTTAGATATCCACCCAAGTCCCTCCGGATAGACACCACAAGCTCCGGACTGAATGGGACCCCCGGACACATCCGTCTGGCCTCCGAACCGTTTCTTCTCTCGCCGCGTATCCTCCCCCCGCCGCCACCCTCTGCCTCCCACCGGCGGGCGCAGACCATGGCCCTGCAGCCCCAGGTCAACCGACCGCCACCCCTGCATCTCGAGTCAACCGTCAACCGCTCCATCTCGGGCTCCTCGACCGACTCGAAACACCCTAAAACCCCGGGCAACAGGATCACCTCGTTCTTTGGCTGGAAGACCACCACTTCCCCCGGTGCCGATTCCTCCAGCACCGAGGTATCCGACGACATCGTCCACACCCCATTCCCTTCCTACCCATTCCCCCCGCCACCACCGCGGATGTCGGCGGCTTCCGTCGACTTGGTCGGCAAGATGAATCCGCCCAGTCGAAACCCCTCGCTCGGCGGCGCCGCCGCCCTCGACCCAATGCTAACGGCCAAGACGGCCGAGCTAGAGAATGAGCTGCGCGAGATTAGCTCCGAGCTCGCCGGTTCCATCCGCCGCGAGATGGAGCTCGAAGATCTTGTCGAGCGCTTACAGTCCGAGATGCCGCTCGAGCTCAACCATCGTCGTACCAGCGACTACTTCTCTGATGAGGGCACAAGCTCCATTCGCTACGCCTCGGACGCCGGCCGCTCCGTCGACGATATCGATAAAATTAAGCGAAGTGCTGAGCAGGAACGTGCCCAGCTCAAGGTCGACCTCTCCCAGAAATGGCAGGAGGAACGCTCGCGTCGAGCCGCCTGCGAATCGCACGTCAAGATTTTGGAAGCTCAGGTACAGCAAGTAAGTTACTACTTCCTCCTCCTCCTCCTCCTCCTCTTCTTCTCCTTCTTTTTCTCTAAACTAATTATTAGTTACGTCGTGAGAGAGTCGATACGTCCGATCTAGCCTCCAAGAACAAGGAAATGGAGATTGCCCTAGAAGATACCCGACGCAAGCTGATCGAGGAGCGACAGATCAAGGACAACTTTGAAGACCTGCTGACTGCGATGCGGGTGGAGCTGCAGCAGCTCCGCGACGAACGCGATCACCTCCGCGACTACCAGATGCAAACCCCCGCCACGCCACAGGTGGACCCGGCTGAGATCGAGCGGCTGATGGGCGAAATTGCCGCGCTGAAGATCGAAAACGCGTCGTTGGCACAGCTGCAGACAAGTCGCTTCGCCTCCATCGCAGAAGAAAATGGTGGAACCGCCGCCGCACGCCGTTCATCAGGTTTCCAGGGCCTGTCGCGGTCGAACTCGCTGGTCCGCGGGCCGCCACGGTCATCGAACTCGGGCCTGTCACGCTCAAACTCGGTGTCGAACAAGGACCGCAACGAGAGCCGGGAATCGCTGGCCGACCGGATGAAGGATGTCGAGGCGCAGCGGGATGCGCTGCACCAGGCTCTCCGCAGCCTGCTGCACCGTCAGAGCTACCAGTCGCGGGAGAACGAGAAGCACATGCGGGTGCTGGAGCTGGAGCTGGCGCAGGCGCGCCAGCAGGCGGCTGCCAGTGGGCCCCCGCGCAAGCTGGGCTACGAGCGCGAAGTGTTCACCCTGCGCGAAGAGATCAATCATTTACGGCAGCGCGCCGAGGACGCTCTGGACCAGAAGTGGCAGTGCGAGAAGGGGCTGGCGGGTCTGAAGATGGACCTCGACCGCGCCAAGCAAGAGACCGGCTCCCTGCGCACCCTGCTACAGGAGCATGATATTTCGGTCCCTGAGGAGCTAGTGACGGCGGCTACTACTACTACTACTACTACTACTACCACCTCCGACGAAGACCTCGCCGAGGTGCAGCTGACGACTTCCTCGTTGGAGGACGCCTACCGCCAGCTGCAGGCGGACCGAGAGTACGCGGAAGCCCATAGCCCGTCGGTCGAGCAAGCCACCGAGGCCGCAAGCCGGACTGACCTGCTGGCGGACCACGTCCGGCGGCAGCTGGCTACAAACCGGTCGCTCCGCGGGCGGTTGGCGGATGCGATCGGCAAGGGTGAGAAGGAACAGCAGGTGTCGGCGGAGCGGATCAACGGGCTGCAGCAGCGGCTCAAGGGCCTCGAGGACATGCTGATGGTTGCGCAGCAGCACTCGGAGGACCAGATGTCGCGCCACGAGGACGAGATCCGGAGTCTGAAGGAGAACCACACCGTGCAGCTGCACCGGATGAAGAACGGGATCCGCAGCCCCGTCGCGCTGTCGCCGAAACCGCCCAACACGCCGTGGGGGGCTCGCTCGCCGCGTCTCGACCGTACCACCAGCGGCGAGGCCATGCCGCTGACGCAAGCCGTGCAGACCGAGGAGCTCGAGCGGCGCGTCAAGGAGCTCGAAAGGGCCCTGCGCGATGCGGATCTCGAGATGGGCGAGGTCATCGGTCGCATGAACCGTGCCCAGATCGAAGTCGCGGAGCTGCAGTCTGATAGGTATGTCAATCTTTGAAAAGCAAAGGTGTCTGAAATGTAGTAACTAATTGATGCAGAGATGAAGCCCTGCGCGAGACGCGCCGGCTCCAGGCCGAAATCCAGACAGAACGCCAGGCCTTCCAGGCGATGTGGGCGGCCTAGGCTCCTGGGATTCCATAGTACATCAATACCCATGGTAATATTCATGTGGCGTTTGAGCGATCCTTCTTTATACCTTTTACTTCTTTATACCTTTCTACCTTTGTCTATAGATGGTGGTCATTTCTTTGTCATGATCATGACTGTACATGGTTAATAGTACATATTTATACATGATTGACTATAATTATAATTATACTATCTACAATTACCTAGTAGTTAAATACTACCTATAACTATTCTGTAGTACACATAGAAGTGGTACTGTTTGCTCTGTTTGCATCAATCATTTACCACCACGACAATCTTTATTATCATCCCATCCCCAACAGCCACCATGGATCTACTCCAAGGTAAGCCTTTATGATCTATCGAACTAAGCCAGCTAGCTATGCTATCGATCTAACTATGACAGGATACATTCGAAGCAACCTGAACCTGCCCGATATAAGAGGCTACACAGACAGCTATATAATCCGCCCGCTCTCCGCGCTGCTCACCTCCTCGACGCCCGATCTCCTGACCATCCTCCTCCTGGCGATCCTGCTGCTCGTCTCGCTGAAGATATTAGACTATGCGCGCCGCCTGGTCATGTTCTGGGTCTCCCTGGCGATAAGTGTCGTGTATTATGCTTCTCTGATCGGGGCGGCGTACGGAATATATTACTACGCCACTTTGGAGGGCGGGTGGGATCGCGCCATGAATGATGCGGGATGGGTGTATGGTCTTGTTCAGGGGTTCGTGGAGGATTTCCAGGTTTCCGAGGCTGCTGCTGCTGGCGGCTATGGAGGGTATAAATCTGCTCGGGGACAGGGACGGGGTCAGAAAAATGCGTATTCGGGATGGTGATTACTCGCTAGTGGTTACTGGCTATTGATGGGAGTTGGGGGAGTTACGAGTTACGAGTACACTGTAGAGATGACTTTGGTTTATTTCATATGGTATCTGGTATCTGTCTTGTTTCTGCTGTTTCTGACGTTACTCTTTATGGTCCGTCTGCAGTGCAGTTGCTGGTGACACTGCTTCTGAGCTAGTCCTGGTACTGCATAATACTGCTGTAGCGGTGTGTAGGGGTGTACTTCGAAGTTCGTACTGATGTGACTGCGGTGCTACCGCTTGTCTATGTCTTGTTAATGGAACGCTATCGACCGTTCAAGTGCATGCTCAATCCTCATAGTCGACTTCCTGCTCGTCTTTTGGCTCCCTCGGCTCCTGTGCGTCGTGGAACTGGATCGCATCGTCAATGTAGCTCAGCACAGCGCCGACGCTGTCTTCGTCCTGCACATCCAACTGCAGAAACGAGACCATGCTAAAGTCGTCGATGAGCTGCGCGACCGCCCGGTTCAGCCGGTTGAACGAGCCGCCACTCATCAGCGCGCTCTTGGACGCCGGGTCGTTATCATCCGCCCCCGCCGCCGGGGCAGCCTCCGCCTCGGCATCGTCCTCCAGCAGCTGGGCGTCCACGTTGATGAACCGTTTGAGCTCCTTGCGTGACACCATATCCCGTACTTGGTCCATCTTGCTCAGGATGTTGACGTGCGGCATCTCCAGCATCAGCATGGCGGACATGGCGCTCAGCGTGCCCGCAAAGAACTTGGCCTTGTCCACGACAAAGGTGCTCTCGAGCAGGTAGGCGGCGCACAGGTTGATATTCAACGGGCCCGCGCGAGACAGGAACTGCACCAGCGAGGGCAGCAGCGGGATGTGCGTGTACAGCTCGATCTGACCGGGCATGTCGATCACAATCAGGTATTCCTCGCTCAGCGGATCCAGCGCCTGCGTCAGAAAGTCGAGGTTCTGCAGCAAGAACTCGAAGCAGTAGATCAGTCCCCCGTTCGGGCCCAGCCCGAGCTCCTCCATCACATCCTCCAGCGTGATCAGCTCCCGGATGTCCAGGTCCGGCTCGTACTGGAACGTCTCCGCCGCAGGGTCCAGATTGACGTAGAAGCAGCTCCGGCGCGTGTGCTGTAAATGCTGGATCATCGCATTGCAAAAGGTCGTCTTGCCGGCCCCCGCGGGGCCCATCACCAGCACGCCAAACTTGGACATTTTGACACCCAAAAGATGAAGTCGTGATCCTGGCAAATCAAACGCTCAGACTCTCGCACTCGCCAGGCAAAATGTTCTGCAGCTCCTCACCGCTTGAAAAAATGGCGCGATTTGTTACATAAGCAGGCCCCGCCCTTTTCTTTCTTCCCCCACCGCCGTCTGTCATTCTCTTTCCCCCTCCCCAACCATCTCTCTCTGTTCTTCTCTTTCTTTGTCCTCCTACTCTATCTTTCTCCCCTCTTTTTATTTGTCTTATTAGACACATCGACATCATGGGCAGCCTTGCGAACGGTAGCAACGGAGGAACCTTCCTCTTCACCTCTGAGTCGGTCGGTGAGGGTCACCCCGATAAGATCGCGTAAGTCTTCCAGGGGGGGGGGAAATTGAGAAAGAAAGAGAAGGAAAGATCACTGACGAGAGTAGTGACCAGATTTCCGATGCCGTTCTCGACGCTTGCCTGGCTGAGGATCCCCTTTCCAAGGTATGAGAGGATCGATCTACCCCTCCTAGGCCGAAACCCCCCCCCTGGCCAGGGGGTGCAGAGCGTGCAGTATCTAATAGGTGGCTTTTATGCAGGTCGCTTGCGAGACTGCCACCAAGACTGGTGAGTAAAGTATTGAAATATTCAGTTTGTTCGTCCGAACATGATCAACTAATAATTATGATCTAGGTATGGTCATGGTCTTCGGTGAGATCACCACCAAGGCCAAGCTGGACTACCAGAAGATCATCCGTGGTGCCGTCCAGGAGATCGGCTATGACCACTCGGACAAGGGTTTTGACTACAAGACCCTGAACGTCCTGGTCGCCATTGAGCAGCAGTCGCCCGATATCGCCCAGGGTCTGCACTACGACGAGGCTTTGGAGAAGCTCGGTGCCGGTGACCAGGGTATCATGTTCGGCTATGCCACCGACGAGACCCCGGAGCTGCTGCCCCTTACCGTGCTCTTCTCCCACAAGCTCAACCGCGCCATGACGGATGCCCGCAAGGACGGCACCATCCCCTGGCTGCGCCCCGACACCAAGACCCAGGTCACCATCGAGTATGCCCACGACAACGGCGCCGTCAAGCCCCTGCGTGTCGACACCATCGTCATCTCCGCCCAGCACAGCGATGACATTTCCACCGAGGAAATCCGCAAGCAGCTCAAGGAGAAGGTCATCCAGAAGGTCATCCCCGCCGAGCTGCTCGATGACCGCACTGTCTACCACCTCCAGCCCTCGGGCCGCTTCGTCATCGGTGGCCCCCAGGGTGATGCTGGCCTGACCGGCCGCAAGATCATCGTCGACACCTACGGTGGCTGGGGTGCCCACGGTGGTGGTGCCTTCTCTGGCAAGGACTACTCCAAGGTCGACCGCTCCGCCGCCTACGTCGCCCGCTGGATCGCCAAGTCCCTGGTCAACGCCAAGCTCGCCCGCCGCGCGCTGGTCCAGCTCTCGTACGCCATCGGTGTTGCCGAGCCCCTCTCCATCTTCGTCGAGACCTACGGCACCTCCTCCAAGTCCTCGGATGAGCTCGTCCAGATCATCCGCAACAACTTCGACCTCCGCCCTGGTGTCATTGTCCGTGAGCTTGACCTGGCCAAGCCCATCTACTACCAGACTGCCAAGAACGGTCACTTCACTGACCAGAGCTTCTCCTGGGAGAAGCCCAAGGCTCTCAAGTTCTAAGCGCCTGAGAGTCCCCCTTGATTTCACGAATGTGATGAATTTGCTTTGTTTTCAACAACTCAAGGCATGGATATAGACCTCACAAAAGCTTTGGATCGATTTCATTTCTTTGCATCACCGCCCGCTCCGCAGAGGGGCGTTGCAGGAAGCCTAAATTCAACATGATACCACTTATATCGGATGGGAATGGATGTTCGGCGTTTTTCTTTTTTAATATCTCTTTCCTTTCAAACTCTTCAACACCTCCGCCTATGGCATAGATGATATTGTTCTAGATCTCTAGTTCTATCTATCTATCTAGCCCATCTGCTCGCCGTTATCCGTCGAGTATGCAGTCACTCCGGTGATCTGCCACAGGCTCATAGTACATAATTCATATTATTGAGCAGACCAGTAATTTCCATTGTAATCCATATCAATAATTCAATAGTATCAAATTATTAATCATTATGCCTTATGGCATTCATTGATACTTGGTATCTCCTTCAATTAACAAGGGAGCACCGACCATCGACGCGTGACGCCAGTCAGAGACACCGCGCCCCACCGCGTTGACTTTTGAATACCATCAACCAGGACTGTTGTACCTGCGTCTTGAAACTCCCTCTCCCGCACTCCATCGAATGCGTATGATGTCTTCTTAGACGCGTTCATGGCCTCTCGAGTCTCGCAGGGCGTGCTTGAATCCATCAGCTCGGTCTCCTTGCACACCTTGCCCGAGGATCGACCGGTCAAGAGACGCAAACTGGACCATATCGAGGTATTGACGGAGAGAATATGCATCAGGGTATTACACCCAAAATCGAAATGAAAATGAAAGTAGCCGAGGTATTCTGCTAAGTCAATTCAGGCCCACGCATCCTCCCTATCCGATGAGCCTGTTGTCCTCGACCCGATTGCTCTCGTGCCTCGCTCGCGCCTCCCGCTGTCCTGGCTCGACGTGGGTTCGGCTCTTGCTTCACATTCCCCACAGAGCAGATTCTTCGTGTCCGACATTACTTCGCTGGAAAGCGATTTGGATGGCTGTGTGGAACCGGTTGGTCTGGCAGGACGGCTGGTCTCGGACAATGGCGGCGGCAGCGGCGGCGGTCTCTGCGTCATCGAAAGGGTGAAGAAGGGGATATACTCTCTTTCTCGACTTGCCCGGTGGGTACAAGAAGGTGATATTCTAGTTGCGGCCAAAGGGTGGATGAGTGCGGGGTCGGAACAGAGAATTACTTCAACAACTACTACTCAGTACGGCTCTACGCGGCAGGACACCGGGCTCAACTGGTGGCAGGCAGCGCAGATCGATAGGCCTATCGTCGCCGCTCCCCAATTGGAGAAGCCGACAAGGTCGGATGTTTTCTTCGCGTTTGGACCGTCGACCAGAGCTAGTGGGAAGAATGGCTCGCAAACGATTTCCGACCCGTTCGTGACCGATCCGCTGGACAAGGAAATGGACTTTGTGCCTCGTTTGCCACCAGCTGAGAAGGGCTTCGGGGCTGATATCAGCAAAGGGCTCCAGCATGTCTCTACAGATCCGAGTCAAGACGTTACCGTGGAAGTCACGCAATCGCCCCAGGAAGTATTGGACGGCCTGCGAGACCAATATTTACAGGCTCTTTACATATCAAAGGTAAGGAAGATATGGGGTATCCTCTATCCGTACTTTTGAAATAGAAAAACTTACAGTCAGACCTCCGTGGCATACTTTGCAAAAGGCCCGCTCGCACGATCGCGTGCTGCGTTCAACTCCCCCGATCCTCAATCCTCGACAACAAGACTGGCCGACCTGGTAGACTTTTACCGTGAGGCGATTCTCCCCGCGAAAAAGATCGATCTGAAATACAAAGACACTATCCCGTCCACGATCCGCTCCGTGGCGCTGATGGTGTCAGACGACGAGGCCGTCTCGAAACCCAAGAAGCGGAAGAGCAGAAAGAAAAAACTGGGAAAGGATGGCCTGTACCCAGAGGAAGAGGCGTTCATTCGACAATGGTGGAAGGATCGAAGCCTGACGGACCCCGCGGGAGTCGAGATCAGCCGTGAAGCGGAGACGAAGAAACACGCCGCCGATCTTCGCTTGCGAGAAACCCAACTCCAGATTCTTCTCATCTTGGAAACAATGGCTCTGGAATCTGCGATTGCGGATGGAGAGCCGAAGGGTCCCGAACCAGCAGCGGGAAGTAACAACAGCAAGCTTGCGGAAGAAAGGCCAGCCAAATCGAAAAAGCCTCAAGACTTGCAAGTCCTACTCGAGCTTCTTCTCGACCGACTATGTATCTGGTATACGGTCAGCACGGATGCAATTGGCCTTACGGATTCCATGAAACCACAGGAGAGTGAGTCCCAGTCCGGGGGAGGAACGAACGCGGAGAGTGATGTCCTGCGGGATTTCTGCACCGAGGTCATCATTCCATTCTACGCAGCGCGGCTTCCCGATCGATGCAGGTACATCACTCGCAAATTCGGAGTTTCCAGCGCCATTTCGCCCTTGAGAAAGCAGAGCAATCCCAAGAGCGGTGCTTCCACTTCATCGCACGCGGCAGAGCCCGGGTCCGTCGTGCAGCGACAGCCTCTGCAGCAACAGCAACAGCAGCAGCGGTCTCGACGCACGCTACAACGCGTGCTGACAGACGAGAGAACGGCGTCGCGGCACCAGCGACTCCCCCCCTCACTCAACCGGTCCAACACTGCACCTACGCACCAGCTAGAAGCGGCGCATCGGGAGTCGATGGAGCCACTACTTCCCGTACCGAGTGCCAAGGTGCGTGGCGGGATCCAGAAACCGAAACGCGCGAGCAACCGCGAGGTCGACCTCAACGCGGTGGCGCGCCAGCACGAGACGAAGCGGAAGAAAATGCAGATGCTGGTGGACCAGAAGCGGGAGCTTGACGCGGCAATTCACGCGCTCAAGAAGCCCAACCGGGAGCTGGTAGCTAAGGATGTGGCGGATGCGGCTGAGAAAAGGCTGACCACCACCACCACCACCACCACCACCAACAACAACAACAACAGCGGTAGCTCACGGAAATCCAAGAACCCCGTCCGCAATCCATTTGGCCAGGGGGTACAGGTCATGGCGACACCTAAGGGGTCTCGCAAGAGGGATATTGGTGGTGGTGGTGGTGGTGGTGGAGCTGGCATGGATCTGCCTCTGCCTCCACTAAGTCTAATGGTCCATTCCAGCGAGCGACACAACGAGTCGTCCCCTTCAGAGAGCGAGCGTACACCGCTAGTGATTCCCGGATCGTCTGCGCTCCGACCAGCGGGGGGGAGAGGAGGAAGAGGAGGAGGAGGAGGAGGAGGAGGAGGAGGAGGAGGGGGTGATCCGAGTGCCATTCAAGAGACCCCATCACGGCGGCCCTCATCTCGAGCGATGAATGACGACGACGAAGGTGCCTCCTGCTACGATGCTGGCCGTCTGTTCCGGGTTCCGGAGCTTCCTGCATCGCGGGCGATGGAGCCGGCCCCCTCGACGCCGGGGCAGACGCCGCGGAGTGGTGATGGTGGCAGCGGTCTGTTCCAATCGGCGAGAACTCTGCCAGCTACCGATCTGGCTGCGATCATTGGCGAGACACCACCGAGGAAGGGGCACGCGGCAAGGGATATGGCGGAGGTGCCCGTGACGCCGGAGAAGTCGATCTACGAGCAATTAGGATGGGATTGATATTAACTAGTTGGTTCCATAACTACCTGGATGTCTCATTGTCTACACGTATTCTATGATAAGCATGATCAGGAGAGTAAACATAACCTGGTCTGTGTCTAGTAATATCGATTCGATGATGGGTAAGACTACCTCGGTGCATATCCTATTTTATGTTCTCCCAACTAGATCAGTATAAATAGAGCATCAACTGGCAACGTTCTTGTGTAACGGGGGACAACCGTTTGCCACATTCCTGAGGTCAACTGACTAGACCAGGTGGTCATAGATATTGTCTAGGAATTCAATTCAGAAGATTCAGTTATTTATACTCGTATTCTTAGATCAGTAGTGCCTACCTAGGTACCTACTACCTAGTATTAGGTAGACTAACTATCAATATATTAGGTAGACACTTATAGTAAATATACTCAGTCAGATATACATACTTCAGCCGTCTGATTGGCCAGTCAAGTATTGTATGCGACTGTGCCTTGGTGATCGCTGATCTGCGACTCCATCAGACCATTAGGTCGGTAAGATTATAGTAGTTTACCTACTCTGTATAGAAAGGATTCTTGCTATTGCCTGTATCAAGTACAGAGTGTACCTAGGCCAAGTACCTAATCATGAAAGGTACCCGAGCTGCGTAATAATTTACTATACAGGCACCTGTACCAGGTATTCCTGCGGTACCTGTGCAGCCCACCAATCACCTGCGGTGGCGCCGCCTCACCATTTCCCAGCCGGATCCTATCGCTTCCCTTCTCTCCTCCTCTCCCACTCTCTCTCGACCACGTCGTTGCCGCGAGGATTCAACCCACCCCCGTCGCCTGTCCCCAAGGAGGGTATCCACTACGGAGTACTCCTCTGTACCGCCCTCTCGCGTTTTCCCCTCCCGTTCGTTCCTCTTGTTCGTCTGCATACCACGTAGTTACTCCCTCCTCCTCCTCCTCCTCCTCCTCCTCTCTCCCACTCTGCTCACCAGGTACAGACAGACAGACACACGCGCCACTGCCTGTCCCGTGTCCAACCCGCGTCGTGCCCCCCTCGGGAGGCGGTACCCTGCACAGCCACCGGGTGGCGTGCTTACTCACGGATTACTCATCATCGGCTTACTCAGTGCTGACTCATGCTCTTTACATAATCGCCTTTTTTCACCGCCCAACTGCTCAGGCTGCATGCAAAGTTGACTTGCCTGGTTTGCTGCGCCTGCCAGTCAGTCCGCAAACCTGCCCAGTGCCTGCTCCTGCTTGACAGCCATCACCGACTCGCAGAACCCCTCACCAATTCCCCTGGTCTGCCTGCTGTCTTGCCGTGCGCGTTTCCTGACGCGCTCCCCCTCCCTCCCCCTCCCCCTCTCTCTCTCTCTCTCTTCCCCCCCCCCCCCCCCCCCCCCCCCCCCCCCCCCCCCCCCCCCCCCCCCCCCCCCCCCCTCCCCTCCGCCTCCTCCTACCTCGGCCGCTACAGCCTATCCTCTTGCCTCACCTTGGCCTGCCGCCATGTATGGCACTTCGCACCCTGTCTCCGCTCCGATGAACGGCATCGGAGGGGATCTCGTCGATGGTTCCGGGACTATCAACCCGGCCGCCTTGAATAACTCTGGTACGCGCTCGCTTTCCAACTTCTCTTTCCTCCCCCCCTGCTGTTTGTCTGTGCGGTCGCGCGTCGGGGTTGGTCTTTTTCTTCAGCCACGTCGCTCGGTTGTTTGCTCTTTTTTTCTTTGTTTTTTGTTTTTTTTTTTTATAAAGGACTTGGATGGTATCGGACTATACATCTCCACAGACACATGCGTGACTTGTATTGTCCTTGGGAGGGTTTTACTGATAAGTCAACTTGCAGTCGCGATCCCTCCGACCGTGTCGACGGCAACTAACAATGGCAACCCGCGCGGTGTCAAGCGGAGTCGATCGCCCGATCAACGCTCGGATCTTCCGGCCGATGGAGATCATGACGAGAGTCTGTGTAAGTTTTTCTCCTTCTCCTTCTTCTTTACTCGCGCTGTTTGCTTGACTATCAGAGACTGACAAGAAATCAGATGAGCAAGGTCGTCGGAAACGAGGGCGCCCCCCGAAGACGCCCCGAGCCACAACAGCAGACCAGCCTACTTCCGCCGTTCAGGTCCAGACCCCGCGCATCCAGACGCAAAGCCATCCGGCGCATACCATCATCTCTCCGCCGCAAGCCTCGCCCGGCGACAAGACCACCCCGACCAAGTCGCTAGTCAAGGCGCTGCCCACGGTGCGCGACCACACCACCGACCAGCTCAATGAGCAGGGCGACGAGTATATCCCCAAGGAGTTTGACGAGCAGGGCGAGAAGAAGGTCGACGCCATGGGCTACCTGCAGGACGGCCGCGAGTACAAGTGCCGCATCTTCCGTGTCCCCCACCGCGGCACCAAGCTGTTCATGCTGGCCACCGAGTGCGCGCGCGTCCTGGGTTACCGCGACTCCTACCTGCTCTTCAACAAGAACCGTTCCCTCCACAAGATCATCGCCTCCCAGATCGAAAAGGACGATCTGATCCAGCAGGACATCCTGCCCTACTCCTACCGCTCCCGCCAGATCGCCATCGTCACCGCCAAGTCCATGTTTCGCCAGTTTGGCAGCCGTGTCATCGTCAACGGTCGCCGCGTCCGCGACGACTACTGGGAGAGCAAGGCGCGCAAGCAGGGCTTCACCGAGGACGATTTGGCCGGCGAAAAGCGTCCCGGCGCCGCCAAGGCTCGCGATGCTGCCGCCGCCGCCGCCGCCGAGGCCGCCACGGCCAACCTGCTGCCCGCTCTCGGCCATGGCGACGTCATCTACAGTAACGCCCTCGAGGCCATGCCGTCGCACGGTCTCTCGATGGGCTCGACCGGCTCGCCCGTCCCCTCCTATGCGCCGCTGCCCATGATCCACCTGGCCACCACCACCGATGACCCGCGCCTGCGCGAGTATGCCAACATGCCCCGGCCTCGGCAGGACCTGAGCGGGCCCGCCTATCAGGACCGTACGCAGCCCAGCACGGCGGCCGAGATCCTGAATCAGGCCTCGCACACGGCCGATTTCAACAAGCTCTTGAGCTCGCAGCGCAGCTTCCGCCAGAAGGGTCTCGAAGACTTCTATGCCAAACAACGCGAGTCACCCGTCGACGCGACCTCCGACACCCTCGACGCCACCCACGTCCCCGCCTCGCAGACCTCCATGCCCTCCCCTCAGCTGGCTGCCGCCGCCGCCGCCGCCGCCGCCGCGGGCGTTCTCAACCATCATCACCTCTCGCATCTCCCGCAACACCCGCAACACCATCATCCTCAGCACCCTCATCAGCCACCACCGGGACTGATGGCCCACCATCAAGCGTCACTAATTCCGGGCTCCTCCTACCCCCAGCCGGGCCAACAGCCGCCGTCCATGACTGCACAGTCTCCCATCCGAGGAATGCCTCCCACCATCCGACCAGACATGATGCATCATCAGCGGGCTGCGAATCCGGTTCTGGCCGCCGCGGGGGCTACCCAACAGTCACCCCCGTATGGTTATCCGACTCAACACCATCCGCAGCAAATGTGGGGGCAACCACCCCCGCCGCCGCAACAGCAACAACAACCACAACAATCACAACAGCAACAACAACAACAACAGCAACAACATCAACAGCAGCAGCAGCAGCAGCAACAACAACAACAACAACAACATCCATCCCCGGCCGGAATGGCTCAGTATGCCGCACAGATGCATGTCCAACCGCCGCAGCAGAGCCCGTCCCCGATGGCGCATCCACAACAGCCCCCACCCCCGCAACTCCAGCAGCAGCACCAACACCAACCACACGCGTCGCAATCACCACGTCGCCCGCCTGCCACTCAAATGCCGCAGTCGTTCCAGATGCACCCGCAGGCAGCGGCGGCCGCCGCCGCCGCCGCCGCACAGCAGCACCAACAGCAGCACCAACAGCAGCACCAACAGCAGCAACAGCCGCAGCAATTGGCGTCGATGGGGTATCCAGGTCCTAACGCGGCAGCCTACCCGGCTATGGCGGCGCGGGCGATGTATCCGTCGTCCCAGGGTCCTGGTGCGCAGCAGTTCCTCGCCAACCCACAGCAACCCGGGCTGGGGATGTTGCCGGGCTGGCCGCCGGCTCCAGGCGGGGGAATGGGACCTGGTCATGCACAACAGCAAGGTCAAGCTGGAAGTCCGTTAGGAGGATGGTCAGGGTATTAGAGGATCGGCGTTATCTGTTTTTTGATTCTTTTTTTTGATTTTTTTTATCTTTATCTTTTTGCTCTCTCTCTCTCTTTCTTCTCTCTCTTCGTTCTCTCCATTTTTCCCCACCGTATTGAGACTCGTTTTTCTTTTTTGAGACCCTTTTGACTTCCTACGATGTTTGGCTTCTCAATCTCATGTCATGCCTGGCTGTCATATTGTTTTGTTTTTTTTTTATTTCCCCCTGATTTGATGGTAGCTAATGATAATCCTTCAGCCCAATCTATTTATACCCCCTGTTGTTCTCTGTTATACCCTTTTTTTGTTCTGTTGATCTGTATGATGCCATTGTATTTTTCTATTGATACCAGACAGATACCAAGAATGATTCCTCTCTTAGTTCTTCTTCTTTCTTCCCCATCTCTTCTTCTTTTTTTTGTCTGTTTCATGCCTTGCTTTTCTTTTTTTCTTCTTGGTTGTTTTATATATGTCTCCCCTCTTTCTATATCCAAATTGACGTACTGGATTGGACTAGTACTAGTATTAAACGTATTCATTGTAGCATTAGCCTAGAAGTATCTAGTCGGGTCAGGCACCGGGGGGACAGGGAAGGTGATGTACAGTCTTATTACTTACTGCGGGAGTCGCATGTGTGGATTGAGATCCCCCAGCACCGAACATCAATACCCATATAACTTGTATGGGAGAGAACAGGGGGATTCCATTCCTCCCCGGCCCCAGCGTTGAGATACTCGATCTGGTGCAGTAGAACTGCTGCCGGTGAAGGGGAAGAGCAGATCGGCCTCGTAGGTGCGGTTGATCAGGCCGAAGTTGTTGTCATTCTAGACCCTGGGCAGTATGACGATAAACAAAGGTTGAGGTATTTTTACCTGCCTGTTATACTTCAACATATCCATTTCATATCAAAGACTAAACCAGGAAAAACGGTTTCAAAGTAAGAGACAAAGTCAGGATAAGTATTTGTCATAGTATGCTATGCTCATAGTTCTGACTTGGCCACCGAGTAGCGATGACTCGCATTATATATTAGTCGATAAATACATGGTAAAGACTGAAACCAAGTATGTAAGAACCAGACGTTTCCAGAGTCCTGGGTCCATATGCATGTCCAAAAAATAAAAAGACCATCCATCCAAAAGTGACAACCCGATTCCATAGGTGGCAAAAAAGAGAGAGAGAGAGAGAGATTGATAAATGCACGCTCATATCCAAAATAAACAATGCAGAATTAAGTACCAGAGCGAGCACCTAGATATAAGACAGAGGACACCGCCGAATGCACATCTCCTAGAATATATAATAAGGAGGAGTTAATAATAAAGAGGGAAAATATCATGCTTCCACATGGCCTGTGGCGTTGTTGATGAATGTGTATTTCTTGGGGGGCTGTACAGAGAGCTGTGCCGCCACAAACCGGTGTGCCTCCTGTTGCTCAGGGAATTCTTGGATGCGGAACTCTGTCTCCTTGGCGTGACTGCCTGGCGGAGAACCCGAGTAAGAGCCTGTTTCATGATCCATTGACAGCCCCTGGTCTGGGATGGGGGAGATGCTATGCTGAGCGATCGAGGGAGGCATCCCCACTGCGAAGTTCATCTCCGGGGACGGCATCGGCACGGCTTCGGCCCAGCTCCGAGCAGTCAGCGGCACCTCGCACGATCCCGCGTATTCGGGAGGGAACGTAGTGTACTGGGCCGGCGCGGACAGCGGGGGAGCCAGAGTCGTGTAGGCAAAGGGCGACAGGACTTCCATCGTCAGCGGCGTTGAAGGCGGAGAGGCAATGTGGATCTGCATGGGCTGCGTCGTGGCCGTCGTGCTCGTCTGGAACAGCTGCTGGGAGGCCGGGTGTGCAGAGAGACAATACCCTCCCTCTGGAGAGGCCGGGGGCAGCAGGTGCTGGAAGTCTTCGGGCGTCAGCGGGGTAGGAGGGGCCAATGTGTTGGCCGAGACCGACGGTTGCAGCATCTCCGCTTTGGCTGCGCTCAGTGCACCGGCCTCTGCAAAGGTGGAGAAGTTCAATGGGGATCGCTGAGCGACCGAAACCTTGCGCACGCCCGCATAACGAGAGTTCAGGCTCTGAGCTGACTTGGTCTGCCGCACCGAATGGCCGGTTGCCCCCAAGCTGCTGGGTAGTCGGGTAGTCGGGGACATTGATACAGTGCCGGCGGCGAGCGACGAGCGGCCAGACGCCGAAGTGCCAATAGCCGCAGGTCGGGGACGCTTACGTCGCGCAGCCAGATCCAGCTCCTTACCGGGCTCTTTCCACGCAGCAGGGTCAACGCGTTGAGGATTTAGATGAACAGAATCGGTGGCATCGATACCGATATGTTCCAACGAGTCAGCCAGGTCATCTGAGGAGCCCCGCCGGGTGAACTCCATTGAAGCGGCGGAAGGATAGGTGAAAGAGACCTCCATGGCTGAGGCGGACGGGTGATGATGTTTCGAAACGTGCTCCTGCATGTGATGGTGGTGGCGATGATGATTATGATGCTGGTGCTGATGGTGATGATGGCTCCAGCCGTCGCTGGGTCTGCGGAAGGACTGCTGAGGTGTCTCCATCTCCGCCACGGAGAGACTCTCGACCATCGAGGTGAAAGACGTGGCTGCATTCAGATTGCCATACGAAAAGGTGTCTTCGGGGCTCTGGGAGGGAGTCCACGTGAGACTTGTCGACTCGGCAGGGGTTTCCCACTCCGGAAAAGTTGGGTTCAAGGCCGTCTGTGATCTCTCGTCCAGCGAGTACATCTTGCTGGACGGCATGGACCCTTCGAGAGCGTCGGCAGGAGGTGGCGGAGCAACCGCCTCGCCCTCCACTCCTGACCGGCCGAACTGATCTCTGGCCGCAACAGCCGCATTGAGAGCCCGTTGCAGGGAGGCAAATGTAGCTTCGCGGGCGGATTCACTGGGTGTCTTCTGGTGTCTCGACCTGGGCGCCGAGGTCGCTGGGACATGGCTTCGGGAAGTCGAGGCTGTCGAGCTGGTAGTCTCCGCGGACTTTTTTTGAGGTGCCAGGGATGCATTGCTGCTCTCATCGGGCGTTTCAGCTTTGACTGTCGACCCACTCTCCGGCTGGTCAGCCGTGTCTGATTTGCCTCGAGCGGCCTCCTCAGCCTGTGCTTTGGCCTTTTGCATCCGCTCGAATTCCTCCTGTCGCTTCTGCTGCTTGGCCTTGGCACGTCGGTTCTGGAACCAATTCTAGCCACTGTCAGCTAGGTCTCTTTGCAGGCCCAGATTCATCTCTCCCGAAGAAAAAAAAAAGGAAAAAAAAAAACACTCACAGCCACTCTGGGCAGGCTCAGGTTGGTCTGAGCTGCCAATTGCCGCTTGACGTTGCTGCTGGGCTTCGGATGGGTCTGGAATTGAGTCTCGAGGGTCTCGACTTGCTCCTTGGTCAAACGAGGGCGTGACAGGTTCTCCGCGTATTCGTCGTAGTCCATGATGGGCGGCGGGTAAAAGTCGACCATCTCGAAAGGCGGGTGCGGGTACAGGTAGCCGTCCATGGGCTGCGGGATCATGGATGAGTGTGCCATTGCCGGGTCAAACACCAGCGGCTGATCCAACGGCACAGCCGGATGACTGGAATATGGATAGGAATGGTGCAGGTAACTCATGGTGAAAATGAATCAGGGTTCGGATGGGGAGAGAGATGTGATAGAGAGAGAGGGAGGGGGAAGAGGGGGGGGAGAGGGAGGGAGAGAAAGCGAGTGAGGACTGCGGAGGGCAGATAGACAGCGCTTAGACAACGTCTTCGGATTATCGCATCGATGGTGAGATCAGAGTAGGACAGTTTTTTCTCGAGGAATCTTAATAATCTTGTGATTATGTTTCAAAGAAAAAAGAAAAGAGAAAGAAAAGAGAAACGGATGAAAAAGAAAGATTAGAGACTGTGATGTGACGAGATGGGATGAGAGAGCGACAGATAGCTAGATAACTGGCAGATAAAGGAAACAACAGCAAAGACGAGGGCACAGCAAGGAAAAGAAACGATCGACTCGACAGGCAAAAGGAGTGACGCTGAAAGAGGAAAAGGAACGGAGGCGACAGACCGTGAAGTCTGAAGATGGAGAAGATGGGAAGATCGGGCCTTGGAGCAGGGAGAAAAAGGTCGAGGTGAGAAGGGAAGGTGAGCCAACAGCCTGACACGAGGTGCTCGGCGTACGGTATCGCCGGTACAGTATTGTACGATACAGGTACTTAGTACTCCGTTAGGTACTTAGTTAGGAGGTACCTACTAGGTACTAACTTAGTTAGTTAGGTGACTAAGGTACTCCGTACTGGTACTTACTACTCCGTACCTACGGGAGGCCAAAAGATCTCCCAGGCGGTCGGGCCTGTCAGGTGGATCCACATAAATAAAATACGGGTATGTAAGAAGGTAATCGGTAATGAATACGAAGTCATTAGGTATTTACCTAGGTATTGATCTAGGTATCTCTATGTCGTGTTGGACTAAGATTAGTACTCTGTATATAGTATAATAGTATCTAGATATGATTACTTACTACTCAGAGGTACTCATAGTGAAATGTTTGTATCTATCAGTTCCTGCATTAGTGTTGTTATGCCATCCATTTTTAGTCTCCAAGTGCCGTGCCGTGTATGGCTCTGTGCTGATTGGTAATTGCTTAATGCTCATCCTGTCATCCGGGAACTTCAGTATGAGCCCGTACGTCCAGGTACCGTATTGTATCTGCTGCCATTGATTGGCCGGATATTCGGGTGCATATTCTGAATCAGGCTAGCACGGTGCTCCACATGACTTATCGGGTGCTGCCACTCTGGAGGACGTCCACGTACTTTTTTTTTCCCCTCCCTCTCTGCCTGGACTGACAGTCGACTTGGACTTGACTCGTTTATGCAGACCAACCAAGCACGGCAGGCACGACAGCTTGACAGGCAAGATACGCAGTGTTCTTCATCATTTACAGGACCAGATTCATGCAAAAAGACAGTATGGAAGAAGCTCAGCATGGCAAATAAACTAAAATATCAATAGTCGTCAGATCACGGCGATCCCTCTACCCCGAGAAGCCCTACGAATCCGCCGTATATCTCCGCATTGTTCCTTTTCGGTGTAGTCGAGGCCCCGGGCATCTGGCTCTCTCTGGCCTGAGCGGCGGTTACGCAGTGGTGGATGTCCGTGCAGCTCTCTCCCAGGCCCATTTGCAACGCAGGGAGCTGGGAGCTGTTTACTTTCGGAGCTATCAACTCTCAGCCCATTGTGACCTCCTCACCGAGGAACCCTCACTCCGCGGAAATCGAATCACATTCTACTCCGTTCCACTGGGCCGGGTGCCATGATGCTATCTCCCGATCGTGATGGTTCGAACCGAGGTTCTGGCATCTGCAGAGAGGCCTTTAGAAAAATCCACGTCTCATAAAATAGACCTCAGTATTCTGTATTCAACTATATCGTGGCGTTGATCGGGTCCAAACGATGGTCTCGTGGCACGTTGAGCTTCGAGAGTTGAGCACTGAGAAAAGTACTCCTCCGTAAGCAAAGCCTGTCCAGTTGTCCCGGGCGTTCCAGTCCATTCCAAATCACCATTACACGGCGTGTGGATGTCTCCCGCCAAGGATCTGCAACGTTACGACGACGATCACGCCTGCGGCGGCCTCGACGGACTCCGGAGCACGAAGGGCGATTTTTTAATTCACCCTCTGCTCAGCCATCGATTGGATAGGATGCAAGCCGTTTGAGCTGCATCGCTTTGACGGTGATCACCTATCACTGCTCACAAAGCTCTAGGATTTTTCCCGGGTCCCGAAGTTTTCTGTCGATCACACAAAGAGAGAACAGGTGCAGTAGGGATGGATCATGGATGCCTGGTCGGCATCCCTGACCCCGGGCATACTACTACTAAGGTTGTCTTGGCATTAAACAAAGCCCCCCTCCCCCCCTGCTGGATTGCCATGATCCAAGGAGTTTTGCCGCTGGCTCTGTGATAGGAGAACAGATCTAGTCCCCTGCTAGGCATCACGGACATCTTCTCTAACCCTTCTGGGGCCATCCGATGCCGATCCTTTACGATCATGTGGCGGTGCGTTTCGGGTGTTCCTAGTTGGAAATCTTCCAGCAACGCCACAATTCGCCTGGGACGATTCCCCTGCAGACCTGCAGGGTCCTGGAATGGATCGAGACAATTTGTCATGGCAAAACGGAAGAAGAAGCAACCATGCCTGACTTCAGGCTCAATGCCGAGCAAGGGCCAAGCCTGCTTATTATTGAGAACGACGTACGGAGTAAACTAACTAGCCGGGTACGGAGTACTCTGTGCGGAGTAGTACGGACAGATTCCAGGAGTTGATCGATAATTGCGATATAATGATCAAAGAAGAATGAGTATCAGGTACTTCTATATTTTTTTTCGGTTTCTGCTCTCTTCCTTGGAGTAGAGATTCACTTCAACCTGATTCCCACGGATTAACCCCTTGCGTACCTGTGGCGTCCACTTAAGGACTCTCCGTACGGAGCCAGTCTACACCGCTACGTGTTTTGTTTAAAAAAAGACTTGAAACCCTCAACAATATTCACGAATATCAAAGACGGCTGTTCTATTCTAGTTTATTATGACTCGAAACATAACTGCTAGATGTTATTTATCTTACCAACTATATAGTACGGGGTACGGAGTACTCCGTAGACCGTACTCTAATTACCAAGTCTTTTTCCTACACGAGTATTATAATCTATGTCAACATTTCCCTAATTCTATATCTAGTCTATGCACACGTCTAACTAACCACTCCATACTCTGTATAACAAGTAATTACAGTAACGCATCCCTGATCTCCAGATGCACTCTGCCGCTCTCGACGCGCTGGACAGAGACACTGCGCAGGTCTTGCACGATCCAATCGGCGCCGGCGTCACGGAGCTGCGCGAGGGAGTGCGTGGTGGCCAGCGCCAACACGCGGAACCCAGCGGCCTTGCCCGCGCGGATGCCCGATGGGGCGTCCTCGAAGACGATAATCGACGAGGATGACGGGTCGTCGAGGCCTAACCGCTCCCGGCCAAGGAGGTAGCAGCGTGGATCGGGCTTGCCAGCCTCAACGTCCTCGGCGACCACTAGGTTGCGCGGATGTGGGAGGCCCAACACTCCAAGCCAGCCGTCGACCAGGGCGCGCGTGCCCGAGGTGACCACGCCCCAGTTCACGCTTGAGTCTTCCAGCGCGGAGAGAAGGTCCCGCGCCCCCGGGATTTCAATCGCGTCGGAGCCATATTCTTGCGGAATGCGACCTTCGATATAGCTCACGTCTGTTTTAAATCAGTCTCTCTCTCTCTTTCTCTCTCTCTCTCTCTCTCTCTCTCTCTCTGTATATATATAGACGTAAAAAGTTGGTACACTTACACTCCCAGTTCGCCTTGCTCGGGTCATACAACTTCAGAACGTCGATACTCCGCCGCCCATGAGACGTTGCTAGAATGACCTTGGGGTCGACGCCCATTTCCTCGCCGACTCTTTACGGATCGCGGGGTAATCAGGACCTTTCTTTCATAGTTGGCAGATACGAGAGAGCGGAGAAAACTAACTGGTGCCAATGCTTGACAATTGCTAAACGGTCAGCGCCAGTACTTTTTCTTTCCCTCTTTCCTTTGCCCTTTACAAGGTCTACTTACCATCTGTCGAGTCCACAATGGTCCCGTCAAAGTCGGACAGAATCCCGTCAAAGACGTGCACCTGGGGAGGGGCTGAGAAGGACCCCGCTGACGCAGACATGGCGGGAGAGATCGATGGAACAGGCGTATATGTAAATGTGTAGATATAAAGATATGTAGATATCTATACGACTGAATAGAATGAAAATAAACAAGACAGCAACCGTCAACAAATCTTTGACCTTCAACGTATGCTGTTCTCTGTTCTCTTCTTTGTACCTGAAGCCAAACGACATCCGCTAAGCCCCTTTGGGAGTCACCGAGGCTCCCGGTCCGGAGATCGGCGATACTATTAATCCTTTTATCTAAGCGTGAGTGAAATCTTGGCACTGCCCGAGATTTGCCAAAAAATTGTCAGGCAGTTTGTCGGTGTCTTCCTGTGTTTATTTCACTGTCGAGGATTCAACCGGGAAGATGGTCAAGCTAGGTGAGTTTTCCGGTTGAGGAATTGTTTGGCTCAGACTGACAGACAACAGGGAAGAGCTCCAAGAGGACGCCTGTCCGTCTGAGGCACAAGATTGAGAAGGCAGCGGCGGCGAAGCAGAGGAAGGAAAAAAAGCTTGCCAAGAAGGTATTTTCTTCCCTCCCCCTTGATTTTTCGAACATGTCTAATTTTAATAGAACCCGGAATGGCGGTCCAAGATCAAGAAGGATCCTGGCATCCCCAATCTTTTCCCCTTCAAAGATAAGATTCTGCAGGAGATTGAGGAAAAACGTCGGTTGAAGTCGGAGGAGCAGCAGCGCTCGCGCGAGGAAGCTCGCGCGCGGCGAAACGCAGAGAACAGCCAGGCAGGTCAGGAGAACACCAACGCTGCCGATCTCATCGATGACGAGCTTGTCGATGATGAGATGGACGAGGGAGATGAGGACTCCAACCCCATGGCTGCGCTGCTTGCTTCTGCCCGCGCCAGAGCGGCGGAGTATAACGAGGAGCACGACGAAGATGACGACGAAGAGGGTGAGGATGACGACGAGATGGATGAAGAGGATGATGACGAGATGGATGAGGATGAGGAGGGTGGTGCGGCTCTGAACGAATCGGGCATCCCGAAACTGGTTTCTCAGTCTGGGTCGAAAGAAAGCTCGCGGCGGCAATTCGACAAGGTCTTCAAGCGGGTCGTTGATGCGGCCGACGTGATCCTGTACGTTCTGGATGCCCGTGACCCGGAGGGGACGCGGTCCAAGGAGGTGGAGCGCGAGATCATGGCGGCGGACAAGGGCTCAAAACGCCTCGTCCTGGTGCTGAACAAGATCGACCTGGTCCCGCCGCCGGTCCTGAAGGCCTGGCTGATCCACCTGCGTCGATATTTCCCGACGCTGCCGCTGAAGGCCTCGAACGGAGCGCCCAACGCGCACAGCTTCGACCACAAGCAGTTGACGGTCAAGGGGACCTCGGAGACGCTGTTCCGCGCGCTCAAGTCATATGCGCACAGCAGGCAGCTGCAGCGCGCCATCTCCGTGGGCGTGATCGGCTACCCGAACGTCGGCAAGTCTTCCGTGATCAACTCGCTCACCGCGCGGCTCAACAAGGGATACAGCAACGCCTGTCCGACGGGCGCCGAGGCCGGTGTGACGACCAACCTACGCGAGGTGAAGCTTGACGGCAAGATCAAGCTGATCGATTCGCCCGGCATCGTCTTCCCGTCTGCATCTTCTTCCTCCTCGGAGAAAAGCGGCAGGAAGTCCAAGAAGCAGGACGAGCAGGCTCGCCTCATCCTCCTCAACGCCATCCCCCCGAAGCAGATCGACGACCCGGTCCCCGCAGTCAACCTGCTGCTCCGGCGTCTTTCCAGCTCAGAGACGCTGATGGCCAAGATGCTCGAGGTCTACGGAATCCCGCCGCTCTTCCCGACCGGGGGTGACAAGACCACCGACTTCCTGGTCCAGGTGGCTCGCAAGCGCGGCCGTCTCGGCAAAGGCGGCGTGCCCAACATCCAGAGCGCGGCCATGACGGTCATTACCGACTGGCGCGACGGTCGCATCCAGGGCTGGGCCAACGCCCCCGTCCTGCCGGTGGTCACCGTTGCCGAGGGAGAGGCGGCGCCTGTGGCCGCCGAGGGCGCGGATACGAAGCAGATCGTCACCGAGTGGGCCAAGGAGTTCAAGATCGAAGGACTCTGGGGCGATGGAGCCGAGGATGACGACGAGATGGTGGAGTAAGATCTTATGCGTCTCATGCATGTTCGGATACCAAAAGGCGTTCTGGTTATTCAGTTTACAACTCATCATTCAGTTTATCAGTTCATCTTGTAGTCGTACTTCGTAGTTATAGCTGAATATATTTTGTTTTGATAATCCTTTATTTTCACTCGCTCAGTCAAACATTTCCCTCCGCCATAGAACTGTACATTCACACCATCATCACCCACATTTGCTACTCTCGGCTTCAATTGCCCAAGCACCTCCTCCTTGCTCGGCAAAAAAGCCGCAGCGGAACTGATTCGGTTGATCGTCGCGTCCTCTGCTCTGCACCGACGCAAGGCATGGCGTCTAGCTGGGGAAAGTGTACGGCTGCTTACCGACATTCGGTTTTAGCAGTACAGAGTACGGAGTACAGTATACGAGTGAGATCTAGATTCTATTCTAGTGTTTGATATTGTATTGAGGGAGTCATCCTTATGAATGGCAGTGTGTTCTGGTAATTGAGTGTTGTGGTGCTAAGTTGCTATTCCGAAATATATTATCTTATACCTCTTAATAGATGATATCGTCATACACTATATTTATGATTTATCTAGCCATGTTCTACCCAGAAATATTAGCATTATATCTAATAACACCAGTTAATATTACTCTGCAGGCAATATATACTATGGTACTCTGTACTCTGGCTGTAGTCAGTTATCAGACATGATGACATGCGCCGATTCGCGCTCCGAAATCCACCTTCGCGTCTCCCCGCGTCGAGATCGAGAAATCAGACATTGTCAACCGACAGACTGAGTCTACATCTCATGCTTCGGTTGATTCCACTGCAGAAATTCTAATATTATCGTTTTAAATCATACACTGCAGTATACTAGGTCCACCTCTCATTCTCATTCTCATTCTCCATTGCTTCCACCACATCCCACCACACATATACTACATATGACAACACACACAAAAATGGCGAGAAAGTCCACCGCAACCTCTACCCCCGAAACAGAGGACCCCCAGCCCATCGTCACCGCCACGGAACAACAGCTCAAAGCGCGCGCAGAGGGCGGCGTAAGCGTGGAGGTAGAGCATAGCATCGCGGGAGCATCGCAGAGTCTACGAACAAGAACCGGACTGATATTATTTCATATAGGACTACCTTCTCCCTCGCTCGCTGACGCTCCGACTCGCCAAATCGGTCCTCCCCCCAAACACATCCATCCAAAAGGATGCCCTCCTTGCTATCCAGAAGGCGGCGACAGTATTCGTCTCGTACCTTTCTTCCCAGTGCGAACCCCACTACCCAAAGCTACCATATATATATATATATACTAATCGATTGTGTAGCGCAAATGAAGCTACCATGAAACGCACCGTCGCACCTGCAGACGTCCTAGCCGCGCTGTCAGAGCTGGAATTCGAGGCGTTCAGACCACGACTCGAGAGGGAGTTGGACGTTCACACTGATCTAATTGCCCGGAGGAAGAATAAAAAAGTGGACCCTTCTTCTTCTTCTTCGCAGTCGAGAAAGGATCCACAGGTCGAAGAGGGGAGTGCACACGCCGCGAAACGGGTGAAGCGTGGAGAAGGTGACGAAGACGATCACGGCGACGAAACTGAATTAGAGCACGATGAGGATGAAACGGAGGAAGAACAAGAGCCTGAACCGGAGCATGAGCACGAGGACGAGGAGGACGAGGAGGACGAAGACGAGGATACAGAGGAGGAGGAGGACCAGGACCAAAAGGAACAGAACGAGATCGATCGCGTCGAGGATCTGGACCGTGACTCGAGGCCGAGCCCGACTATGGACCCTGACGCTGCTGGAGATAGCGACAGTGATGGCGTGTAGTTTGTCCATGTCCCATAATCATACACTATGCTATGTCTACGCTGTCAAATTGTAAATAAAAACTGAATTAGTAGTCTACAGACTAGTATAAAGCCTAGTAAATGCCGAGTATGAACGCCAGCCCAATGCGTGTCTATGAACAGGGGTATCCCACAATGCGAAACATGTTTTAACGTCAGAATGAGGAAAACAAGATCAACAGATCAGTCGGCTCATCCCGTTCGGGATCGACTTGGGAGATATCGTTTCACTGTTGCTCCAAGCCGACTCATCGTCAGAAGAAGCCCGCTTACTCCCCAGATTGGAAACGAGAGGTCCGTTGTTATTGCGTACGGCCCCCGGGGAGACCGGGTGCATGGGCTTGGCGGGCTCGTCCTTGTCCGGCTTGCTATCGGCCTTGCCAACCCCAGCTCGGCCCGCGACACCGGACGCTTTGGTGACTCGACTGAAGCTGGTGATGCGCGCGTTCTTCGTCGCCGCGGGTTTTTTGTTGGCGGTGGGTTTGGTAGTTTTGGTGGTGGTCGTTGCTTTCTTCTTCGGAGCAGCTTTCTTTCGCGAGGCCGGGCCTGTTTGTTCTTTGGCTTTGGCGAGAACCTCGTTGAGGCTGCGACCGCGACTGGCAGGATTTGAGCGAGACGTAGCGTTGGAGGCGGCGGCGGCGGCAGCGGCAGACTTATGAGGCAGATCCGATTGTTCGTCGTCTTGGCTAGATGAAGGCGTAAGAAAGCCGGTGTTGGTTTTCTGTTTCTTGCGGGGCGTTTGAATGATGACGGAGACGGTACCCTGTTTTTTGACACGTTCCACCTCGGAGGAGTTGCACTCATCGAAAACATCATCATCGGTGTTGTCATCCCACCGCTTGAGGTTGACCAGCCGAGCCACCTCCTCACAGTCGCCCTTGACCATGAGATCCCAGCAGTCCTCAAACTCTCGGCCGACGGGAGGTTCGTTGTTGATCCACATGGTGACCCCGTTGCGGCGACCACGGATGACGGTGCAGAGGTTCTTGACCAGGCGACGGACTCCGGGGATCTTGAGACTGGTGCCGACAACGACCAAGGCATCGGGGCGTGAGCGGACATCGGCGTTCATGACCGAGGCGATGGCTTCCTCGTCCGGGTTGTGCTCGTTGTATAGCACAATTCGCGGCCGCATCTTACCGACGCCATGGCTCCGCTGCCCGGTGGTCGCGCGGACGGCGTCTGTTTCGAAGCAGGCAGGGCAGAGCGGCGCCTCAGGTCCGTCGAAGAGCTCGCCCTGGAAGTCGGTCAGATGGCGACATTTCTGACAGATCATCTTCTCGAGACTGCCGTGCAGCTGGATGGTGCGCGGCCAGGGGGCCTTCATGTTCAGAGGCACCTGGGTCGACAGGGGCGGCATCGACGTCTCGATCCCGTCGATATTTTGGGTGTACAGCCGAGTAAGCCGGTTCTCCTGCCCGAGACGCGCCATCATGTGGTGAAAAGCGGTCGGCGAGGTTTTAGCTGCCTCTGCTGACAGCGAGCGAACCATCTCGTGGAACGAGGCGGTCAAGGATTCATCTTGGTAGACAGCCGCGTCGAACAGCAGCTTGCCCGACGCCTTCAGATTGTGCTTTTTCTGAAGCGATCGAAACAATCCATCTGTCGAACGAAAATCCGGAACTAGTCATAGAGTCAGTGAAAGCGTAGACGCGACGCGAGAAATAAAGGTGATGTTGATAGTGGGGGGGGGGAAGCGCGTGTTAGGCTAGGTTTTGGG